GAGTTCGCGAGAGATCTCTTAGAATAATAGGGGGACTAGTGCGCTCTCTGGCATTTCTGCTTCTAAGGCTAGACGTTAGAACTCTGATAGGTAGGCGGTAAAGTCTAGGTTCTTCTACTTCTATTGGAAAAGACGGTTCTAGGCATTCTAGGTGCGGTCAGAGTCGCCAAATGCTCTTTCTAAGTACTCTAGTATCTGTGGGTAATTAACGAACTAAGAAATTCTATATTGAATCTTTAGTAGCATTAATGCGTACGCCTTTCTAGTAAGTTATCCCGCTACGTATAGTATACGTCTAGTAGCTTATAGAAATTAGTTCACGTTCGCGTTTATTTTGCCGTAGATCTACTAGATAAACTAGTATAGGTCGCTTTAAGTTCTATTAAATTCCTTTAGGTTAGGTATTCTCTCACTAAGGCTGGGAGTTCGGGAACTTAGGGGAGTAGCAGGCGCAGGCGGTCCCGCTGGGTCGTCTGCGGTAGCCTTAGCAATGGCAGCAGAGATAGGGGAGAACAAAGTGACAGCGGGGGTCGTTAGTACCGCAGGTGTAGCCGCTGTAGCGAGCTAGGTCTTTTTAATCTTGAGTTGGGTGATCTATTTCTAGTCGGCTGCTAACTACTCCTTCTAGTATTAGATAATAGCCTCTCTCTCTTTAACCTAGATTTGTAGGGACTGTTCGTGGTCTTAGGACGCGATAAAGTTTTCCTTAAGTTTCTAGGAATACTAGGTNGTATTACGAAGGTANATTAACCACTCTCTAGGATGCGCTGCTACGCTAGCAGCGAGCTCCTTAGGCGTCTTAGGGAAGCAGGGTGGCTCAGAGCGGTTCATAGCGATATAATACGCGTGCCTGTAAGGAGGAGCTACGTAATGTTACGGTTCGGGCTTATAAGTAGAAAGGACAGGCACGTGTACAGGGTATATTGCTATAGCTAATCAACAGGCTCTCGCTACAGGTAGTAAGAGTAGAAGACAGGACGTAGCTTAAAGAGCTCTCTAGACTACAGTGCTGCAGTTTTATAGAATCTGGGTGCTTGGGCCCGCACCCGGAATCTGCCGGCAGCCAATNAGAAGAATGCGCGCCAGCTGCCTCGCTGGCGCTGTGGCCCTAACGGCCACCCGGGGGATTCCAGCCTCGCTGGGCACCTGGAAGCTGCCGGTCCGCTGCTATGTCAGATAGCGCCGTGACACTAGGATCCTTATAAAGAGCTCTCTTATAGTTATACTTATAATTAAACTTTACTTTAAGCTTAGAGCGGCGCTTAATAAACGTGCTAGGCTAGCTAAAACTAGCCTAGTCTAGATTACGCTTAGCGCGTAAAGAATTAGCTATATTAGCTATATCTATAAGCCTAGAGGGAAATCTACGTAGATTAAGATTAAGTATATACTTAATAACTACCTTCTTCTTAAGCTTAGTTAGATTTATTATTTAAGGCCTATAATTTGCTTATAAAGTCCGTCTAGCGCGTTAATTACCTAGTGTCGTACGAGGCACGTTAAAGATAGCTGCAGCGCGTTATTCTGAGAGATTCGCGTCTTATTTAAGCGCTTAAAGAGTAAGCTATATTTAACATTCACGAGAGGGCTCTAACTGCTGTTATTATTATAACATTTGTAGGTAATAGGTAGTTTAGTGGGGTCTTAGTAAAAGTGGCCGGCGAACCCGTGTGGCCGGCGAACCCGTGAGGTACGTTATAATACTTTCTATAACCTTAACTACTTATATTTATAAGCTTAGCCTAATCTATATGTGTAACGGCGCAGGCAAGACTACTTAGATTAGTATCGGCGGTAGTGTCACTTAGAGGCATATGGGAGTACGTGGGACATTAAATAAGCCATAATTTAAATAGACACCTATAGGCCTTATACAAAAGGATATTAAAAATCTACCTAATAAGCTATTATAGAGGTTAGGTTTATATAGTCGTTTTTCCTACTAGGCCGAATCGTACCCTAGTTCAGATCCTGTTCGGATGTGTGTAGGAACGGGTGCTGAGCCGTTACAATATAACGTGTTTCATAAGCGAGCTGATCACCCAAGCGAGCTGATCGCTCCCCACCAACGCGTTAACTTCGCAACATTATTATAGCTATTTAACATAGTATATTAAAAATTATAATAAGCTAAATTACTCCTTGGATCTATCGCTATTACTAGAACTATTAATTTCTACCTGATAGGTGCGCGCGTTATGCCTAGTCTCCTTATAACGCCCGCACCGCCTCTCCTCGCACCTAGACTGGTCAATGGGTACCCCCCTACCTCTGGGTAGGGTAGGGGTTGGGTAATGGTCGCACAGGCCACATGGGTTGGGTAGGGTTAGGGGTTGGGGTCTTACATAATCGCTACCCTACCCTACCCCTACCCAACTCTTGGCAACCCTACCTCTACCCAACCTCTACCCAAATTCCGGTCTACCTAACCCCGTGTAACATCTAATTTAAGCTATTTTATTCTACTATCTCTTATACTCTATATGCTAATAGCTAAAAGAAAAATTTTAGATATAAAGAATTAGCTTAGTTAAATAATATTTCTAAAGTGGTAATAAGAGTATTAGACTTCTTAGCTTCTAAAAGATAGCTATATATCTTTACTATTATAGCCGCGCCTTCGCTTAACCTGCGCTAAGGCTGGGGCTTACGCCCCAGCGTATAACATTAGCTAAACTGTTGCACGCACTAACTACACGCAGTGCCAGAAGTCGGACAAATCTTAACGGACAAACCTTAGCGGACTAATTTTAGCGGGCATATCAAGTCTCTATAAAGAGCCGTGTCAACGTTGAAGATAGACCTCACCACAAGTTAAATCCTTTTTTCATCAACTACTCTTCCATTGGTGTTAAGCTTCCGCCATCTTACCTGGCATGGCCAAACCAAAAATCCTCGTTGTCGGTTGTGGTGCGACGGGCCTTACTCATGGCTACTATTTTTCTGCTGGAAATGAAGTGACTTTCCTCGTTCGACCTGGTCGGAAGTCTGCCTCCCTCCCACCAAAGAAACTTTATAACTACGAAGAAGACGCGCTACATACGTTCTCCAACTACCAAGTCATCGAGTCAACAGCCGAAATACAAGACACGGAGTTCATCCTTGTGTTCAACACACTTGATATACACACTGCACGCTCCGAAAGCGGTGCTGCTACGCTGCGCTCTGTTGGCGACATGATCCGAGGAACCTCATCATTTCTTGTTCATAATGTTGCTGGTCCCGGGATGCTAGACTTTTACGCAGACACAATGGGAATTCCGAAAGACAGGCATATTCTCGCGCTCAGCATGCTCGCTCACCAGCCAACAACCATGATTTCCTTCCCAGAACGTGCGGAAAAGGGCGTAATCACCCAGGCAGACATGCTATATAGACCTCATGCCGGAGGCATCGGGCTTGTAGTGTTCAAGTCCAACGCGCATCTCTGTAAAAGACTGTCTGAGGTTTATTCTCATGATAACAAGCTCAAAGTCTTGATTGTACCTGGGTTTCTCGAGGTATTCATTGACCTAACTATGGTACTGCTTGCTGCGTGGTTCGTCGATGGCTTCCGCCCGCTTGATCGACTTCGTACAAACACAATACTTTGGGAGCTCATGATGAATGCTCAAAGAGACGTCTTAGGCTTGCCTAAATTCGGCTGGCTCGGGTGGGTCTTACGGTGGTTAATTGGGTCGTGGGTCACTGAGAACTACTTGTTTCGGCCTCTAGCGGATCCGATGGCGCCTCTTCCAATGCATGAGTTTCAATCTTTTCATCATGGAGGTAAGGTAGTACAACAGGACCTAAAATACATAATGGGTCTGGTAGAGGAGGGTAAAAAGGTAGGAAGAGAGATGTCAGCGCTGGAGGAGTTAGCAACAAAAGTAGAGAAGAAATTAAAAACAAGAGTGAGCGAGGAGAGGAAGAAACTATAAATAATAAAATAGCTACTTAGGCCCAATGGTTCGTTCGGAAAATCTCAACAAACTGCCCGCGCGTTGCATGGGCCTCCTACTCAACAGTAATAAAATACTTTAATCGTTAATTTTAATATACTTATATAAGACTCTAAGACAGAATAATTTAGTAATTCTAAGAGCTATATTTTAAGACGCTCTCTAGTTATTTTAACTAGAGCTACTATATACGTCGCGGTTATAGTCGCGGGTATAGTTACGGTTATAGTTACTACTACCTACGTAGCTAGCTATCTTGTCTATTATTATTAAGCTTAGAAGTGACTACTACGACTTGATTTTTAGGTAAAAAGAATCGCTTTAGTATAAATATAGTAGCTTATGTTCCTTATTTACTATATTATTATTACTACTATTATCTTAGTGTTAAGAGAGCTAGTAGAGCAGCTAGTTATTATATAGAGTTTTAGTCTATACTTCTCTTAATAGATCTATATTAAGACTAATAAGTTTTATATTAGAATTTCGTAATATTAATCTAGTATAATAGTAAAGTAGCGTACTTATAAAATAGATTATATGGCTCCGGCCTTTCTGAGTGGAGTTTCTGAGAGAAAAGAATTCTGAGATTGATTACAACTAGTAAGCAGCAACTACACGTAACCACCCATCCTCCGCTCTACTAATCGACACCGCCACGCACTAGCAGCATCGACACGAGCGATACGTCTGTAACGCCGGTCTTATCTCTATCCTATTAAATACCTAGTACTTTACTATAAAACTAAAGCACTATACCTATCTACTCCTTACTCTCCTTCGACTAAACCCTTACTATAAACTCTCTCTACTAATTAGTCAGATACCTAGCGTTTAAGGTCTCCTTAATGCGGACTATATCTTCTTAGAGCTATAGAATAGTATCTAAATTAAGTCTTAATTTAGATACGTTAATAGTTATAATATCTATATCTATTAAATATATATTAAGTACGTCTATATTACTTATAAGAGCATACTTGCCTATCTAAAGAATTATACTTAGATTAATTAGGCCTATACTATCTAAGCTAGCTTCTAACTTATTAAACCTATCTATTATCTACCTCTATATATTATCGTAGATCTTCTTTAGTAGACGATTAAAGGAAGTAATTATATTATTAGGGGAATTAGTATTTTTAATAGATATAAGATAGAAGGGGGGTAGAGATAAGAGCTATAAATAGAAAGTTGATATTATTTTAATTAGAGTTAAGATTAAGTTTAAACAATTGCGCAGCGGTAATAAGATAAGAGAGATAGAGGGATATAGCGAATTTATAAGTATTGTTAGAAGCTCACCCCTGTGCCACTAGGCCACAACAACCAAAAAAGGTACGAGTAATCAGAGTTCTGCTGATACTCTGCACAGGATAGTATATATAGTCAGCGCAGCGCCTGATAGGTATTAGAGAGCTTTGCTATACTACGTGTTCTTATTGCAACTATAGTTTGTTGTATCGTTGTCTTATCGTAACCGTAGTTCGCTGTTCTGCTGCCTTTATCGCAACCGTATTGTGGTTGTCGCACCTAATAGAGTTGTGCCTTATAGTTATATACCTATTAAGAGGTTTATAAATTATTACTAAACTATGTCTAAGGGTTTAAAGTAGGGTCTCGTAGACCCTTACCTAGTTTTTTACTTTAACTGCACGGTTATTTTTTTAATACCCGATTTCGGCAGGTTAGGGTGTAGCCTGCTATTCTTTTCTGAGATAAATGATCTAATATGCCACATAGCAAACAGAAAAAAAAAGTCAAGTTATAAAATATTAAATAGTAGATTTAATTATCTCTAATCTATATTAAATAGACTAATAATTATTAATCTAATATAGTAGAGTAGTTAGTAAGAAAGTATATATTAAGTTAACTATAATAATAGTGATAATAAAATCTATCTATTCTTATATTCTTATCACTTCTAGTTCTACTATTACTACTATTATAACTTTCTTAATCTTAGTCTAATATTTCTCATAACTATCATTAGAGTCTTACTATCCTTATATACTATTACCTATTTATTAACTAAGCGTAATATTAATTATCTTAATCTTACTTTATAATAATTATCAATCTTAAATAGAGACGTCTATCAGCCTTTTACTATATTATTACTTGTTAAGAGAAGACATCTTCTTATCACTTATAGTACTATTTTACTTTCTGAATAGTAGAAAACTATTAGTATAAAACTCCGTTCTTATCTTAGTCCTAGTGTGAGACGTTTAAGGGTTATTGGGCACGGGTAGAGTGAAACAATAGCAGTCTTGAGTAAACGGTCTGTATTTCACGTAGACGAACAGCTACCGACCTTAGGTAGTGTTTTCTACGCTTATATCTACTTTGCTAAGTCAGATATGACTAAGATAGGCTAACAAGGGCTAGATTGGCCCTGGATGGTGCAAGGCTGCCCGTGGAGGGTAAGCTCTTGACAACTAGAGTATTTATAATAATACTTATAAAAATAGATTTTTTTTTATCTTCTAATTATTTCTCTAGTACTTATACTATACATTATTTATCTACAATTCTCTCTTTTCTCTTAATTTATAGACACATTACTCTTTTGTAAGATATTAATTAAATCTATATATAGATATTGATATATATATCAATATTATCTCCACTGTAGCATACTATAGTATTATCTTATAAATTAATCTTCTAATTCTACTTCTTAGCTAGAATACTATAAGGGTGTTTATTCCGAGTTATGATATAAGTATCTAGCATATTAATCTAGTCTGTCTACTGTCTAGTACTACCACTATTAGTATCTTCTTTTTATTTAGGAATAATGAGTGCTTCTAGGGAGATCTTCTAGGATAGAAATATAGCTTAATATACGGATTTTCTAATAAAGAGTAGGGTTACTAAGTCCGTATATCTATCTATAGGCTGTCGGAGTATCTTAATAAATATATACTGCTTGTCTCAATTGTGGGCGTTTTCGTAGCACCGGCCTCGACGTCTGTTGACCGGTTCACTGTGCCCATCTGTGAGTATCTGCGGCTCATTCTGAATAGATGCATTCGAAAGAAGGCAAAGGTACTATACTTTAAGCGTACTCAGCCGGAATTTTAGTGTCTATATACTATGGCTCTGGAAGATAGGTATATGTAAGCGGTGGGTGAAGGGTAATTTAGAGGATTAGCAATCGAGCGGGTTGGTTCTATGATAGTGGAGATCTTTAGATACATGTAGATTGCCGAGTAGCTGAAGTGCTGAGGGTGGGCTGAAATGAGCTGAAACTAGGACTGAAGTCCTACCGCTAACAGTATATGAATCTTCACTTTCCTCCTAACATTGCGTCATATCTCATAGGACTTGAGAATTCGTCCCTTGGCCAAATCATTTCATCTCAATACAGTCAACATGCGTTTTCAATTTGCTATCTTTGCTCTAACAGCTTCGGTGCTAGCCGCACCTCAGTTGGCGCCAACCGACGGCGAACTCTCGAGTCAGAAACCCTATCCTAGCTATACATGATACCGTCGCAAGGATGCAGTTATCTGAGTCTATAGAACAGACTATAGACAGTATTGAAAGCTCTTAACAATACGAAGGATCTGACCCTAGCTGTTCTTCCCGGGGATGTCATCACGGCGGGTACGAATTGGTATTTTGTCTCAATGCTAAGCAAGTAGCTGATAGACTGCCCTTAGCGTGCTACAGGTGCCCGGCACCCTGCCAGGGCTTCCAGTGCTGCAATCCGTATGAAAACTGCAGCATGATTAGCAGTCTGTGCTTCAGTAGCCGCTTCTAGAGTGATTACGTGCGAGGTGAAGAACGTAGTAAGGTTGCTTCATAAATCTACGAGATGCACGGGATACTAGACGAAGAGGACCTCAGTTATGGATGGTTGTAATGGAATTTCATTCGCAATATGCTATGATATCCAACATATTAATATCTCAAAATATTAACAGTTTTAGAACAAGGAGAGCCTAGCATAGATGAGGGCGACGCTGTATTTCATCCAGAAGTATCTAAGGTCGGTTAGACAGGATAAGCTAGAGAAAGTCGCACGATATCTGGTGGATAGTAGATCAGATATGTCGTTCGACTCGGCGCGTGACAGTATCGATAGGTGTAATGATATTAATTAGTAGGGCGGAGGATAGGTGCTTACGCGTAATTTTTGTTTTACTTAGTAGTTCTAATGAGTCTCTGAATTTTTCCTGTCGCAAACATCGCTTAGAAAGGCCGTAGCTAACAAGGACATACAATGAATGTATTCCCTGTTAACATTATGCGATACAGATTAATAACTAGTGCTTACATGTAGGCGGGGCTTCGCACTCTTGTTTTGAGCGCATCAGGCAACCAGGCCTAAAGAACCTTGAACGAAAAGCGGGCTCTATCCACACTCTAGAGCCTGAGTTGGACGAGGTTCAAAGCTTTGGGGGCCAGAATATAGAAATCCTGCTAGGCTTCATTCTTTCAATGTTCCGCAGTCACACAATTAAAGCTAGGCTGCTTTGGTGTTTTGTACAGTATATGCGAATGTGAGAGTTATTAGTTAGAGACCTTCACACCTGAAGTCCGCGCTATAGAGTTATCGCGCACGAATCTAGTATGGTGAATGACAATGCCATCGCTTGATGCTCCTATGCTTCAGCTTCTCAAGGGATTGACATCCAGATGTTCTTAGTGTCTCCGGCTGGATCCAGACAGGTCTTGGAGTTTTGACATAGTAGGTCAGTGTTCGTACCACAATGCAGGAGTATCGCTTATGAGGTGGGTAAGCAATTATTCGCTGTAGAACCTTGATTCAGAATTCCAGCCCAATCAATCGATTCGTATAGCCCTCCAATCGGATCTAAGAATACAAATGGATTACCGCAAGGCCGTCAACTCGTGTAAGGCCACCCGGGCCTAAATGGACCCACTATGGTTCCACTTTCCGGTTGGACTACGGCGGCTCCTACGTCTCACAAACTCTTGACACACTGAGTAGCCTTCTGTATATAAGAAGTGACGATCGCTCGCTGCCTTCATCACTCTACCTCGATATACTGAACTCTGAGTCTCCTCACTGAAAAGCATCAGTCAGCACTATGGTTCAAATTGTCCCTTACATTGCCTCTGTGCTGGCCCTTGGTCAGGCTGTTGCTGCTGCTAAGGCTGTTTCATCCTTTTCTGAATGGGTTGAAGGCATCGTTTCCAACCCTGATGGTGATAACATGACACCCGAAGAGGTCGTCGAGGCCTTCAAGGCGGGACACTTCAGCAGCCCACCGGAAGGTACGCCAGCCGTCCGACCAATTCTTTTTGCCTAGAAGCAAGCTAACCTATGGGAATATAGCCAGGCAAGCTCGTAGCTTGTTGCAGAAGCGTGCCAGCTGCTATGAGCAGCCTAACACTGACTGCCCTGTACGTAACAGGTAACCAGGACTTCTGCCTAAGAATCTCACTAACGTTATTTTGTTCATGAGATCTCTGACGCTGTTGCATGCATCAACACCGTCGCCCGTAAGAGCAATTGCGATGCTTATCTGCAGTGCCAAATCGGTGGTTGCGTGATGACGACCGATGGTAACCACAACTCCAATTGGTCGGTATTCTTATTAGATACTTGGACATGCCTAGTCACTTACACTGTTATAGCAACGACGTCGCTCGTGGCGGAGGTTTTATCCTGGATCACTGCGTTGTCCCGAACTATGACCGGGTAGAAGGGTCGGAATACGCATATGGAAATGGCGGCGAGCTTGTCCGGATTCGAAGACCTTGATCTGTAATTGAGGATATTACATTAATGTATGCCTCATCACAGAATATATTCATCGGTGAGAAGCATTCGTGGGACTATGAATTGCTGCAGCTAGTCAAGGTTGTTAGTCTGTAAGCAATCATCATATTATTAACAAGTAACTTAATAGTCTATGTAACGCGTTAAACGTTAATGCTCAATGTTAACAAAGGGACTACTTGTTTGCATAATGGTATGAAATTTAGCCCACCTTTAACTTGAGTATACTGTTCATCTTTCTATACTTATTTTTCACTCTTCTAATCCTAAGTACACGTTACAGGAAGAAAGTGATTTGTAAGGCCGCTTGCAGTAACCTTATCCGCTCTTCGGCAAGTCGCGGATGCGTACTTGTCGTACTTCAACTCTCTGACCTGATCCCTATCACTAGCATCTTCGTGATCGATAGAAGTAATGTAATGGCATATGTCATCAACGACTTTTGTGGTACCCTTAACCGAGTTCAGCATAGCGGCATGATCAATACCACTTCCGCTCTTCCATCCAAACGCCACGCTGCATATGTTGTAAGCTTTGTAGTAGGCAACGCTGTGTTGGCCGTATCGCGCGTTCCACCAAGAAATGCCATTCGGTCTAATCGTTGAAGAGGCGTAGATATCGAGCCTTGGTTTACAGCCCTCCTTGGTCGCAGGAAGGCGAGGTCTAAGTAGATCAGGATATGGCTACCGTCGTGGCTGTCGCTGAGGTGGTGACGATGGCGCCCCGCAGTTTTGTTGATTTCCGGATCGATGCGCCAAGATAAGCAGTTGTTTGTTAAAATGCTACCAAGCTTATCCGCGATTGTGTCATGATGACAGCTGTCAATGATTTGTAGGAGTTGCTTATTGAACTCACCCCTATTGAGTTTCCCTCTGCAGTTCGCCTTTGTTACCATATAGGCCAGCACGTTTAGTCCAGCTTTGTGTAGCTCGTCCCAGCTGAAGTTGAGCTCAATAGTGTTGTGAACACTGCTTTTGGAGACGAATCCTCTGTATTGTTCGCAGGATCTTTCCGCGGAAAAGACTAGGTTGCCTCTAGAAGCAGCTTGGCGGCTGTTGTAGCACGTTGTCAAATCTTAAGCTATCGGGAGACTATTCAGGTATTGGTGCGGGCCAATTGCCAGACCTTCCGCCGCATCCGCCATCAAATATACCACCTGGCGAACCTGGGTTATCCGGTACGCTGGGTTTGCGATGCTCTGGTAGATGTCCGGTATGCAGATTTCGTCCTTCTTGTTCTCATAACGCTCTTTCTCTTGAGCGTCTTCGCCGCCGCAGTCGCAGCCGCAGCGAATTGGACAATGGAGGGAGTTGCAGGTAGTTCCAGGTTTTGTGCTTGCTACATGCGTTGCAGTCTTTGGCTTCACAAGTCGCACACATGGCTCCTTTATAGCCGACACAATTGGCACCACTGCAGTTGTTGCAAGCAGGGCCACGACAACTGAAACAGTCGAGACCCTGACATTTGATGCAATGAAAACCAACACAGATGTCACAGCGCAGGCCTATTTTGCATCCACCGCCGCCGCCGCCGCCTCCACCGCTACCGCCATCTTGGTCCCAATTGTCGCCTGGGTCACAATCGTCGCCTTCACAGCCTTCGTGTTCTCCTTTGTCACTATTATCGGTATTCTCTCCAGTATAAAACCGACAAAGCATGGCATCAGTAGTATAATGGCAAAACGTTGAGTAGAGAGTAGTTGTAGGTTGCAGTAAAAGGCCAGAAACGGATGTGATGTTTCCAATGCCAGAGGTGCACTCAGGCGGAAATGGAGGTGGACATCGGGATGCCTTGGTTTTTATGCTTTTACCAGCAGGATCTACGACAGTAAAACTCAGCCATACTGGTGTGGTATATAATGTAAGACCAGTAGTGGCTGTTGCAGATGCATTGGGGGTTGTAGTTTGTTCTCTTCCGCCTCCGACGACTAGCGTAGAAATACAGATGACTGAGACCGTTATTGGCGGCTTTGTAACAATGGTAGTATATCCGGGCTCGCGAATCATGAGTTTTGCCTTCTGACATCTTGCCGGTTTTGTATGCACTTCATTATTGTGCGAGTGAATCTTCAGTCATGATGTCTCTTTTATTGCAACCATGGTTCGTTGTGCTACTATCTCATCAAAACCTTAGTTTGCTATTCTGCTGCCTTCGTCGCAACCGTATCTTAGTTGTCGTACCCAAACGATGCGGCCTAATAGGTATATACTAGTTCATATATTTTTACTCGTTTTACTAACACGTTGTTACGTTGACTATAAAGTCAATTCTGTCAATGCCCAATTGCGGCAGGTTGGAGTGTGACATACTATTCTTTTCCGAGATATTCAATCTAATACGCTACACAGCAAACAAATATAAACAAAAGCCCAAGTAATAGCAGCTAATTGCGCGTTCTGTGGTCATTCGTCAGCCATTTACCCGATAGCATCTCACAGAATCATCAACCTTTTTCTCGCACATCATTCTGGTGACATGAAACCCGATGCGCCCAAAATCAGATCCAATGAAAACCTGGGGGAGTTTTACACCCTGCCACTGGACTATCAACGGCCTCCAGACAACCCTAATCCCAAAAGCGACGAGGGTCTGTTTGTCGAGGAATCAACAAATCGACTTCGATGGTCAGTCCCGGATCCACCCATGGCAGCACAGATTGTCGAACTGGACAACACGGGCAGTCCTCGGTGGCGGCCTCTGCTCGGTGCGCCAAACCATGCGCTCGCTGAAGAACCTGTCAGCCAACCGCCACGTTCCCGCATGCTCGTCGCTTTTGACGTCTTGTATGGGGCAGATTATTGGATTGATGCCGATACACTGGATGAACGGCCCGCACCCCTGGTGATTCAAAATGCAAGAGGACGGCCCATCACATTTGCACAGTTCGTCAACGAATTGCACCGTCACGCTTTGGAGCTGCGCGAGACCATCTTCGAAATCGAAAATAGAGGCAATCAAGACAATGCGCGTCTCTACTGGTCTGGAACTTCTGGGCCAAAACGTAAAGATGCAGGAGATCCAGGCGCATTATTCATGGTCTATCTCGATTCCGACATGTTTACAAGTGGCCAAGAGTTTGAGCAGGACTGGATTGGGAAAGCAGAGCGGTTTGCCGAGAATTTGGGCTCGAATTTGTAGAACTTGCTCGGTAGAAGCAGCACGATGTCTAGAGATAAGACTGCAGCCCACTCCACACACACTTTGTAGCACATACATACATTATGATGAAAAGAATTTCTACTATAATTAAGTCGCTGACCTTGTGGCTCTCCCATATTCCCAGTGCAGTCAATAAATGGGGTACATGCACCTGTCGGTTAGACGGAAGCAATAGTAAGAGGGTCAAAGTCTGGACATTAATATCAAGAACTTAATGCTTTCAAGTACACTACTCTCTGAACATTCCTTGTCTCACTATTCAGCCCAATTCACAGCATCTGCAGTCGCTAAATCGCGCTTCATCTTGATTCTCCTGCTTATTATTGGGTTGACTGCTGTCCAAGCCTCTGCGCAAGGTCGGTGCCGTTTCAACCCCACCGTCGACAATAAGCTAATACACATGCACAGAAATCGCAGAGAGGTATCGCATCACAATCGATCAGTTCTTTCTATTGAACTCTCTGGATTATCCCAACTGTTTAAGCATTCAAGCAGGCGAAGGATATCGTATCGCGGGGAACGTCATGCCAAGAAGTGCCAACGGGTCTTGCAAGCCCGAGTCACTCGTAACATGCTTAGGATATTCTGGTGGGCAGTGCTGCCACTCAAAGAAATTGAAGTTTGGTCGATCGAGGTATTTTACATAACCCTATATCAATAACGAAGTAGCTGATTCAATGCCAAAAAAAGCGATTATTGTCAAGCCGATACATGCGCCTCAGGTCTTTGTGCCGTCAACAACCCAAGCGACTACTCGCTCAACAATCAATACGGTCTTTCGACCGGCGACAAGCTCTGTGGAGGGATATGGGGCAGCTGCTGTGGTAAATCGAACCGCTGCGGAAGTGGCTCTGAGTGTTGTGGAACAGCCGATTGCTTGTTTGGTAATTGCACAATAAGCATGCATACACCAAGTCCCGGACTGCCGCCACCAAACTGGGCAAGTTGCAACACGACCAACAGACGGTGTGGACCCAGCAACGACTATCAGGTTTGTAACATGGTGTATGGAAAGCGTTGTTCGGGCAGTGGTGCCTGTGTCACGGGCTCGGAGTGCGGTACTGGTTGCAACCCACTCAATGGCGCATGTGATACAGCCACGGTTCCTACCCCACCCAACCCAGTCGATACCAGCCCAGATAATTCAACTGTGCGTTATTTGGAAGAAGAGAATCACTGGTGTAGCGATAAACGGTACGTGCGGAGGAACCAACAGATATGTGTGAACTAGATCCGTGTATGGAGATCGCTACAGCAGCTCTCGCTATTGCGGTAACTCTGACAGACATTGCAAAGCTGGCTGCCAAAAGTGATTTGGCACTTGCAATGATAATGAAAAAATATCTTCAGACGGAACTTGCGGTGAGCAGGATGGATATACTTGTGTGGGAACGTCTTTTGGGACGTGTTGTTCCACAACAGGCTATTGCGGAAGTATAGGCAATCATTGTGCTCAAGGATGGCCAGTGCACAATCCCCTCTGCAGCCAATATAACGATTTGAGAAGGTATATATGTGTCTGCTAAAAGTGGCTGTTTGATGTTGAGTCAAAAATTATTCTCGAGCGGGTGTCAGACTTCGAACGTCGCATCGTTGGATGGATCGTATGCCGTGAACAAAGGTTTCATGTCTGCGGGCGGCCTATTCAGTGGACAGTGTTGCGCGGCGAGTAAGTGTTGTGGAACGACAGATGACTATTGGAAAACTGAATGGTCAGTTGTAGAGAAGCTTGACGCGAATTTCTGCTAACAAGAAGCATTTAAAAGGGCTACGGTACATGCAAGTAACCTCGAATGGATTTGATATATCGGATACACAACTGGCTGCACTGTCACACAAGTCTAGGATTTCCCAATATAGCTCAATATTTAACAGCACGAATGGACATTCAATAGACGTGCATCGTTCTTGTGCAGCTTTGCTGCCATTGTAATCCTTCATCGTCTCTCTGTAGTCGCCAGCAACCTCGAAGCGAGTTGGGATTGATGCAGGCGCGTTCATAGCCCTGTTACCGAGCATCCTGGCCCCCAAAAGGTCAAATAAAGCATTTCTTGATACAGTGCTTACTGCGTGCCGCCCATCAAAGACTCTTCTGTTTAGTTCTGATCATACGATAATTCGAAAGATGTTTCTTTCAATTCGATGCAAGAGACGTATAGATCTGAGCCCCGTGTAACACACTACAACCAGCACTCTGATAATGATATTCTTCTTCTAAAAGAATGCTATCGCTGCTTCGTAGAGAGAACAAACTTGGGGTTTGTACAATTTCAGTAAGGTAACTACGGCCCGATTTCGACTCTGTGCCAAGAATACCAATAGTCCTACCCCGCAGTAAATATTGCTTGGTATTTGAAAACCTGTGTTTCCCCTCCACTGCTTCGCTTTAAACGCCTATTTTGGGTGCATTTCCGTCTTTAAATACTTAAGTCATGTTTGATATCGATCGGCCCTTTTCTATCCAGGTATGCAATCGTGAAAAAGGAAGCTCCTACCGGCATCAACTGGCCGCTGGCAATATCACATGCATGGAAAAAAGTAGGATTCATCGTGCTAAGGATGGTATAGATAGGGTAGAATACCTTGCTCGCAGATAACTGTTTAACTTATCTCACACTTACTTGAAGAGAATTGAAGACAAGAAAAGCTGGGGGCTTTTCACCAACAGCACCATGCCTCAAGCTCGATTTGCATTCCTTGCTTCGTTGTTATCATCTATTGTCTTTGCCGAACCTTTCAATACCTTCGACGGCCCGGGTTTTCCAGCGTGTCGCGAAGTCGCAAAAGTCTACGACCCAAACACCGTAAAGGAGACGATTGATATTGTACGCACCGCTGCTAGCAATGGCACACCTATCAGAGCGTCGGGTAAAGGTCACATGTGGTATGATACCATGTGCTCCGATAATACTTCCACTGTGATCGTCCGGACCGAACAGCTCAATCGCATCAGCGAATTCGACCTTCCGGTTGGGGCGCAAGATGGTTCCGTGATGATAGAGGCAGGCGTTACATTTTTCCAGCTTGCTGAGTATCTCCATCTGAAAAACGCAAGCATGGGTTATACACTGGTTAACTGGAACATAACATTGGCAGGGAGTATTGCAATGGGTGCCCATCGGAGCAGCCTTCGCGAGGAGAGTATGGTAGCCGCAGGTGCGTTGGAGCTTCACATAATCGACGGAAACGGTGAGCTTCGTGTAATTAGGAGGTCCGACAACGACGAATGGCTTGCTGCATCTACCTCACTTGGTCTACTTGGAGTCATTGCCAAAGTAAAGTTCAAAATCTATCCGGATTTCAAGGTTTATGCCAAGCAAGACATGTGAGTACTCTGTAGACCGCCTGGATCATCGTCTGTACTGGATTGACTAATTGTCTAGTCTCACTGAGGATCAAGTACTTAACGGTGACATCTATGGACTGATCGCGCCGTATGGAACTGCAAACCTTTGGTGGTGGCCCTATTTGCGCAAGTTTCACCATCGTTATTACGATCCAATTCCGGCAGGATTATCCGATCAAGAAGGATTTCAATCAACCTTCAGTGTCACAAAGACTGAGGCTGATTTTGCAGCAGGTCTGCTAAATTCTGGTGAGTTTTGGGTAAAATTACGATGCACATTTACTTATGTTTCGAAGGCAAGATCCTACCTACGTCCAACATGGCTGCTGAGACATTGTTCTTTACATTATGGTCACCACCAAACTTTCGTGATAAGAGAACAGACAAACCTATCTTAACTTGGCCTGTATACGGTTGGAACTACGACGTGTTAATCGGTGGACTCTATCCTGGTCACGGAACACAATGGGACCTTGGACTTCGAGGTTTGACTCTTGAGCTTGCGTTCCCGGTCACAATTGCAAATGATGTGCTTAAGCATGTGCGAGAGGCATTCGACGACGAACTTAAGAAAGGGATTGTGATGACATCCACATATCGTTCTGGCATAAACATCAAGTTCGGCAAGCCTTACAATGACTTACTTGGACAAGTCTCTACTAGCACTGAGGACGGTGCAGACTGGACAAAAGGCGCTATGATGTTCGACTTCCCAACCTTCAAACCTAGCTGGGGTGATGGCAAGAGGTTTAACGAGGATTTTTATGACAGGCTGGCCAAAGGTTTGATCGAACAATTTCCATGTCGGCCACACTGGACGAAGAATACAAGAGATGTCTTCAATCTCACGATGGTAAACAATAGGATCAATTCGGAAAACCTTCGAAGATTCAAAAGTATAAGACAGGAATTCGATCCAAAAGGAATATTCCGAAGTGTTGTAGGAGAAACTCTTGGACTATACTAGTGCATAGCTGTGCAACAGCCTTTAATACAGCATGGTATCAAACTACGCAGCTTTCGGAAGCATAGACTTTGGTAATCATACGGTCATTGCAAGTAATAGTACAGAAGATCTCTCCACTATAGAACAATGATAGTTATTTGGAAAACTAATCAAAAGCCTCAAAGCTGGTTCCGCACACATATCGAAGGCTGACACATATCTTCGAATCGATGTTTTGTGGAAAACAAGCAACGCAGCAAGCCGACGCGGGTTGCTTCGCTAGCTGCCTCGCGTACGCAGTAGGGCGGGCGAATTCGCAGCTGGGATGCATCGCGCAAGAACATCGTCATCGTACCAAAACGAGAACAGCGACCAACTTGGGCAGAGAGCAGCCATCCTGTCAAATAACAAAAACAGGCTTCCTGGGTCGCATTATTACACAGAAAGCTGGAAGCCACCTATGTGTAATGTGGCGAGATACCTTGTTATTGACGCAAATTGCCCGTCTGCCCCGTCTTCGACCCACACATTCACTTGAACAACCGAGAATGCTCACTAGCCAAGTTTCGGCCCCCAATTTGCATTGCCGACTTTAGCCTAAGACCGAGATATGCAGTCGCTGTTTGATAAATCAACTTGCGTCGCTGCTTCAACCCATTGCCATTGGGTCGCACATGTTTCCTTCGCTGATCCTGTTTCGCACTCTAACATCAGAATCAGAATTCTAAGCAAACCAAAAAATCGACTAGATTTCTGATTTGATATTTCACCGAAAAAGTGTCATTCCAAGGTCGGACAAAGGTGGCATGATAGGAGATTGATGTAAAAAGCTAGCCTGAGAGTTTGCGCACGCATCACGTTGCATTACATCGAAACCAGCATCTAGCAGCATAACCTTTAACAAGCGCAATGCTAGCAAAATCCGAACAAGGCCTGCTTGGCCTACCCTTGGTAGTCTTTCGCATGATTCTGGGATTTGTAGGCAACGAACCAGATTTCTTTTTGAACTCTGTACAAAACTAACACCAGCAAAGCTTCACCAAGATGACGCGAAAACACTGTACGCACTCAGATCCATGTCCAGAGCATGTCGCTACGAATGCGATGCACTGCTATTTCGTACCTGCAAACTACAAGACCATGTATGCAGACACGCGAGCGATATCCAATTTGAAGAAGAGTATGGTGATCCAGGTAGGATGCACCAGGAAGACTTCAGATTGCGACGAGCCACCGAGGGCTTAGTGCAGTGCCTACTGGATGGGGAAAGCCCAATTGCGCCGCATGTGCAACATCTCCAAATTGGCACACTCCAGCAAGATGTTTTCGATTCCATAATCGCGCCCGTCCTTGGCAAGGTTCTGACTCGCTTGATTAACTTACAATCGCTAAGGTACGACCGAAATTCCTGGTTAGTTTCCCATATGCTCACAGACTCTAGCTGGGACACGAACATTCCTGTTCCCGAACCCGTGCTCGATGTTTTCCACACCACCCATGCGACCGCTCGCCTACATGTGACGAATTGCTTGCGAGAAAGGAAACCTCTGGATCGACTTTTGCTATCATCACCGCAACTGCACTCGCTACAGATGAATGTTTACTTTGACTTGGTCGGCGTCTGCCCAGTCATCAGAGGCAGTAGCGAACTCCAGATACTGAAACGCTGTCTGATGCAAGGCAACAGCATCAAAGTGCTACATCTGGCTCTCGAGAACGTAGATAAATACCTCTACGGGAGCGCTGTCTCTGGCCTCGGCATCCAGGACTGGGAGAATGGCCTGTTGAACTTCCATTGGCAAGTTGGAGATCGGTTTCCTGCACTGGAAGAATGGGGCTGGAGCGGTTCAACACACTATGTGTATTCAGAGCAACAGTTAGACATGTGGCGTCGGTGCATGGACTGGACTCAACTCCGCGTCCTGGACTTTGGAGACCATCCCCTCACATCGATGCTTCCATTTCCATCGCTGACTGGCCATGTCCCACGACTCAATTCTCTGGCTGTTTTCATCTCCGCTCAGAAACAGGACGATATGCACGAGCCGACACGGACAATACCCATCTTCGAAGAGTTTCTCTGCAGCGTTCTAGCGCTAAAGAAATTGCGCCTTACATGGAGTTTCATCCCTGATTGTCTCTCGACTATCTTAGAATTGCAGGGCCATAGTCTGCGCCAACTAGAGCTTTATCATCCACGTTCAGGAACTACGTGGGATCAACACCGGTACATCGAAATATTGACGAAAGCTCCGCAACTCCATCATCTACGCGTAAGGCATCTTTCATCGCAGGGTCCCACCGTAGATTTTCAGGGTACATGGTACGGTCACGCAATTGACTCGTCGCCATTCGTCAAGTACACGGCTATGGAAGATGTTAGTATTGAAGAAAGGGCGCAGAGCGAAAGAAAACACGCGGCCATGATGAAGCGCATCAGTGATCGTCGCAAAGCCCAGGCATCTGCTGCCGAACGGATGCCAGAGGAAATAGCCCAGGTAATTGAGTTGGCGCAGCGAAACCCTCGTGGGGATTGAGTTTATTCAGTCAACGTACGCGAAAAACTAATATAACACGATGCTAAGAAGTCAGAGTGCTATTTCATAGGGTATGCGCGGGCTTTTCTGGAGTGATGATATGTTGCGAACAAGTTGTGGGTTGATCGAATCAGACACTTGTGACGCTAGCTCTGCATACAGGAGTTGACAAAGATGCACCTCACTGCAGTTCAATTCATTTCCCAATTTTCGTTCCATCCAAAAGGATAGTGCTATCTCTTTCCTCTCGCACAACAGAGGCGCGATACAAAGATTCAAAGAAGCGTGAGGCGCGAATTTTGAGTACCAAACTCCGCTGGCCAACTCTTGCACGGCTTATAATCCTGCGAACATACACGTCAAACTTTCTACAGATCTCCTGCAATTTTGCATTCATAAGGAAGACAAAGTTTAACTAACGTTCAATTGGCATTGAAATAAAATATAGTATACATGAAGAATCCACTCGGTTTATAATTGACGACTACGGTTACTTCTAGTCAACATTACACTTTCTCGTAATAATAGGATACTGCCTGGTTGTTAGCATACTTGTACTAGCTACCGTTGCGGGGAAATAAGACATGAAACGTACCGTATCTGCCCATAGTGCGTAGTAGCGACTCAAAGATTGGCCGAATATGGTGCTAGATTGGCATTAGTTCTGGTAACGAACGGAGAGAGTGACCATAGCTTACGGAGCTTGCACACTAGCAAACAGGGTTGCCCCAGCATCTGCTTCGTAGCAATACTTGAAGTTTTGGTTGCTACCCACGGTGCTCGTGCCCGCCAGTCTGGCGTACGCGTCCACCCCGAGATCGAGCTTGTAGTCTGTCAACAACTGTGCTTCAAAGAGATTCACGACAAGGAATGTACTCACAGCAGCGTTTGAGATCGCGGAGTTGTCAAACACGATACCAAATGTGACTTTCGGGATGCTAGATTCTGTAGTTAGCGCATGCACATACGATGCAAGATCGAAAGACAACTTACATATGCGCGGTAATCTGACCATTCGCATCGAGTGTCCATGAGAATGGGTCCGTGGAGTTTGATATTTGAGGCTCTTTGAGATCGCCAGTCTTGGTTGGCGTATCGCTCTCGCCCGGCGGAGTTGGGTAGCGCATGGCATAATCCCAGTTGCCGAAGTTGACTGCATATTTGGTGTTACTGTTCATAATGTCAGCATGCGCATCGGAAGATCTGGGAAATCATAACTCACAGTTCGAGTGTAGCGTCACCAGCAATGGAAGCCAAGATACGGAAGTCTGGTCCGATCGTGACGATGCCGGGAACTCGGAAACTTGCACCGAAGTTGTGGGCGCCTATTGTCAGTCGAATTAGTTTCCCATGTCGCGTATATCGAAAGGCATCATGTTCCTACCAAACAATTCGACTTGTCCAGTGTGGAAGGAAAGTGCTCCCTTGGCATTGAAGTTGAGTGATGCATCGACTCTTCCATTGGTTCGGAACCACACACTGGATTCCTCGAAGCTCTTGAGATCACCAAGGGTACCCTAGTGCGGTGAGTAAAACATTCACTATAGTGACATGTGAAGCACTTACAATAACGGTCACCCCGGCGGCGGTCTGAATATCGATGTTGAGCTCTGCCCATGCTTTGAAGTACAACTCATCCACGCCCATCCCTTGTAAGCTTGGGCAATTCAGATCTTGGTCGAAAATTGGCACCGAGATTGTATCCTGTCGAATATTAGTTGTTGCACTAGCAATGCTTAACGCGATGACCTACGGCGATCCGATGGCGAACTCCGGTGTAGGATTCATCGACTTTTTTGTGCTTGTCAAACCATTCGCGCACATCTCCCGACCACCATCTGGCATGCAGCTCAGTGTGATGGAACTCGCGCTTTTCCTTACGCCATGTATGCTCTAGCCACGCCTTTCGATCTCCGTCAAAGTCGTTCTCGATCTCTAGTGACCGTTTACGAGAATCGTGTTTCGCAGCTGCAGGCAGTATGGGTTAGTCGGTAATCTAGCTGTGGATATTTCAGTGGTAACTTACCAACAATAGTATCCCAGTATCCCGGATCGTCGCTGTAATCTATGCGCAGTAAGACGTTCGATTTGTCGGCTCGCTTCTCGATTGGCGAGTAGTCGTAATCGAAGGTAAAGTCAAAGACTCGCGCCGCCTCCAAACCACGCTTGACCAGGTGTTTGTGAAGATGCGAATGGCCCAGGGAAGGCGTCATGCTTACGGCAACGGCATACCTGCCTGGCCCACAGTCTGCGGGCATGTCCACAACAGTACCGGCCACTCCGGTGCCTTTAAAGATGATATCGCAATTGTGGTCGTCGGAAAGGTTCGCGCATACAGCTTTCACTGTCTGGCGCTTTTCGCCAACTGTATTGTCACAATCGAACAACTCCCAATGTGAACCATCGCGTTTATCGATGGAGGTCAACTCCTCCTCAGGGCCTGAAATGCATCAACGTTAATCCATAACAGCTTTTCTCCATCAACGTACCAGACATGATGTAGAAACCGAACGCGGAATCGTTGGGATGCACGCTGTTTCCGCCCTGCTTTTGACCGCCCATTGTTCGATCTAATTTGATATCGAGCTTTTCCGTATCGGACTCGGGACCAGGTTTGGGGAAAAGATTTCTAAGCTCGATTAGCTATGCATCATCAATGAGAACTTAAGGAGACCAACTCAAGGGGCACTGGAAGATTGATCGGTTTCTAAAGTTATGTCAGCATATCGCACTACCTTAGGAATGATTTGACCTACTGCACCCATGGCGCTACCCTTACAGCAGAAGGCCAAATCGACATTGAACCACGGTGTGGGCACAGAGCCACCACTGCTACCTGCGACCTTGCAACTGTGGGTGTTGCCGTTCGCGTCAGGCCCACCTTCTGGATCCAACGCGATTCTCGTCTCGCCTGCTGGACACTGCGAAGCTCCATTGCATGCAGGTGTGTAGCTGAAGAAGTCCGTTGAGCCTTCATTCCAATGGCACGAAGAGCTGTCGATGCCCTTGTCGCAGCAGTATGAAACGCCCTTGCCACCCTTGCACGTTCCTATAGACGTTAGAACTACAATTAACAAGAGGTACGGAAAGTCAGACCTCGCTTGGTAGTGACGAAGTTTCGATCTAGCAAGATTTAGTAACGTGCTTCTCTCCAACATGCCTGCCAACGTACCGCCACAAACGCCTTCTTTGGGTTTGCCATCTTTGAGTGATACGCATTCGGTGGTCCAACCACAAACGTCATCGATTGGGCGTTCCTAAATCATTGTTAGTCTTGCCTTAATTATGCTCGCGTTTCGATATGTGAAGAAACACGAGTCATTGTGACGCACTCCTTTGCAGCAATACTGTGCTATGAGATGTTAGTATGAATCGATAGAGTTCGGACGTAAACGAACTTACCGAATCCGAAGAAACACGATTGATGTGAACCACCAATATACGGTTCACTGCTGGAAGCAATAGGCACTGTGCTCGAGTCGCATGCGCTATCACATTCGAATCCACCTCCTCCTGCAGATAACGTGGTTAGCAATAGCATTAGATCAGACAGGAGGAATACATACTTCCAGACCAGTCACAAGTTTTGGGGTCCGGCGTGCTATCAATAGGGCAACATAGCGTCTGACGTTGGGCTTTTCCGTCCTTGTCAACACCGCAATACTGTTCAGCACCAGCAGACCTCGTTCCTGGGCCACACGATTTATTGCAATCTGAGGAAGCCTTGTCAGCGATAGTCCAGGTTACAAACGACAGCCTCGACACAAGTGCCAAACATACCGGACCAAGCGCATGAATTGCCAGTGACCGAGTCCCAATCATCATCTTGTGAATAGTTGGGATCATATCCGTTCTGAGTAGCGAAGGTGCCGAGTTTCCCACCAAGGAGGGCTTTCAACGCAGTATGTTGGGTATCGTCCAGATCAATGGCCCAGACAAACAACCCCAGCAGCCTTGAAATGTTAGCGGAAAATTCCAGGCATGTGAACCTTATCTGCTCCCTACCCTTGCTCGTTTGCGAAGTCTACCTTCGTTTGGAGGGTTTCTTGGTCATCATATGAGACCCATTGGTTTTCATCAAAAGTGAGATACTTCACGCCTGCTGTTTTATCGTGTATCGCATCCAAGTCGTACATCTTGATACGGGCTTCGATCTCGGCATAAGATAACACCCCAGATTCGCCCTTTGACGAAGTCAGTACGCGATGTGATGTCGTAATAGAAATAGACTTACCGTGCAGGACCCGGCGCGACCCGGGGCTGAAAACGGGCATCCGGGTTTGGCACATGAAGTATCTTCCAGAGTGTAAGAGCGTCCGTAAAAGCCGATTCCAAGGTTCAGTTTATCGGCGGGGACGTTGTTCCGCCAGAAAAGGTTCAAGGTATCTTGTATCTCGGTGAGGTTGGTGTGTGCGTAGACAATCGATCCGATAGTTGATGCTGGAGAATCCCAGCTTCCGTGTCTGCGCAAAGTGTGAGTGACTACAAGTAGAGTTCTGTAATTATTTGCGATATACCTACATGTCATATGTCATTACATTAATCCAGTTAACGTATTTGTGCAACTGGTCGATCTTGAACCAACGTAGGTACCAGTAGGAGCTGGGCGCAGTGAAAGAGAGTCCGAAGCCAGAAGCGGATGCCTCGAAATATACGGAAATATATTCCATCAATAAAACAACTAAGTGATGGGGAGGTTAGTGGTACCGGTAAATGTGAATATACAATTTGCGGGATGTGTTTCCGATACATACAGTTTTGCACATCGTCGGGTTTGCCGCCTCGATCTGGCGCCCCTGGATATTCCCTGTGACCAAGTTCAGTCTCCAGATACTCGGTTAGGCAGATCGCTTACCAGTCGATGTCCACTCCGTCGAAACCATATGTCTTCATGAACTTGTATAGGTTCACGGTGAACTTGTTCCGGTTCGCTTGTGTCCGAGCAATATCTCCCCATACTGATTGGGTGTCTGTACCATTATCGGAAAAGGTCCATCCCCCAAGGGAGATCCAGATCTTGAGTCCAGGAGCTTTCTGCTTGACCGCAGTGATCTCTGAGAAGATCTTGGCGCTTGTCTTCGGCATCGGGACGACTTCCTTGTAAACGCACCAATATTAGCTTTGTATTGAAAAGTTAATGGCGAACGCACAAATGTATCGGGTGTGATGTAGGCAAATGCAACGTTGAGATGGGTCAAGGAGTCTACTGGTATGTCGTCGACTGACCTGCCGGCACAACCTCGTCTTGTCAAGGACCATGCTTCCCAGTATCTATTCTCGATTAGCTCCGGCCACTGAGCATGACAGTTGACGTACCCAATGACCAGCTTTCGCACATCACCCTTGTTGTGACCTGATGATGCTGGCTGGTTGCAATTGCTCTGACACCCTGTGCCACAGTAGGCTTCTAAAGTTCCGCAATAGCCCCATGCTCCACAGCACACGTTCAGTGGACATGTACTCCCTAATGTTTCTGCACCTTTTCCACATTCTGCCTTCGCTAAGCAGTTGGAGACGCATACTTTAGGGTTGCAATAGTCCGCATCTCGACCACACTAGGAAGTTACTCTAGGGTTAGCCAATATTTACGATAGAATGGACTCTTCCAAAGAACTTACAAAGCCACTAGTGTTTTTAGTATCTTAAGAATTGACGGGCAGGCCTTGTTGAACTTACCTTTGTCCATTACAGCAATCTCCATTGGCACAGGGCGTTGTTCCCGAACATTGTGCTCTGGGAAACAGGCGATGAGTAGCCGGCGTTGTATCGCTCGCCTTGTGCGAGTGTTCTGCGCTCGCAATCTTGTGCGCATGGTGCTCGCCATGGCTATGGTGGCTACTTGTAACCGGATTGACAACAGCAAATACTCCAATGAGTAAAGGAAAAAGCTTCACCATGACTGGGCCTTTATCGAGGCCACGTATGAGCCTCGAGTGAATCAAAATTGTAAAAGAATGAACGAACGAAACTTGTCAAAGTCCACCGGGTTTCTAGAGATCCAAAGGCGCCAGAGGATGCCAAGGGATCTATTATGTTTTAGCCGGCACGTGACTATTGTGTGAACATATCCACTTCCAGGGACTTGTTTTAGCTATTCATATCTATGAACGCGCGGGTCATCGTCGGATCTAGCCTCGTCTCGACCCGCTCCTTATGCACGAACGTCCGAGTAGTGTGTCTGCCTGAAGAGCGCATCTTGGTGAATTCATGAGCTCCCCTGAGGCATACACGGGTCACATATTGGTGGAAGTACGATATTTGGGGCTAATTCTGGAAGCGAGACATGGAGTTTCTGTAATCGATCTTGGGGCCGCGGTTTGGCGCAATGACCAGATGACTACTATTACTACTAGCCGTGCGGACTTTATCCAAGCCGTCCTCATGGCTTGGCAGAATCTGCAAGGTACAGCGGAGAGTGGGGCAACTATGCCCCATACGTGTAAGGATTTTCGAGGCGTCCACGGCAATCGGGGATAATGAGGGCGCTGTCCGGTAGTTGCAGCCTTGAGCGGTTCAATAACGGCGGTGGAATGAGTCTAGTCCTGCATCATGAATGATTTCAATGTAACCTGGTTGCCTGTCAGGCCACACCTCGCATGCGAGGCGCAATTCCATGCTAGCTACAGATTCGGTCCCTGTCCCGTGCATACACCGTTGTGACGCCTCCCGCGGATGCCTGAACCCCTGTTCGGCCTCATGATGAGCCCGTGGAAAGTGGTATCAAAGCAACATCCATATCGCCAAAAGGTAGCGGCGCACTTCGAAGTCTCGCTCTTCACCCAGTTACATTCGCTACTGTCGTTCCTTACCATGTTCTTCGGACATTTTACACTCATTTTATCATGCTTGTTGCTGCAGGTGTATGCATTTCGCTTCTCACCCCCAAGCGATGACACTGCCTTCGGTATCAATTTTGAGAAGCCCGTCGGTCGTGAGGAAGATCGACTCAACCGCTACCTATGGGCTGGGGTTCGGGACTCTCCGTACGCAGTGCATGACCAAAAGGCCAAAGTCATCACGTACAGACTACCTCTTCGCAAGCGGGCGCAAGACCCTCTGATCGGATTCCCAAATTGCTTGAAATGCGCTGGCGGGGCCCGGTTCAACGGCAACCTCAATGTCGGCCGGGATCTTACCGCCGACATTTTGAAGAAAGCTATCAAGACTGGTGGGCAAGATGGCCAGTGTCTGTTTTACGGTCAACGTGAACTAGGTGCCCTACCAGCCTCTTTATCAGGGGTGGCATCCATGCTGTCATGTTCATGGTCTCAAACCAATCCTAGCAATGGCGAGAAAACACGAGCTATCTGGGTGAGTATATTTCAACCTCAATGCGATTAGGGATTTCCTGCTCATGGCTCGTATAGGATATGTGGCCCAAGGACGAATCCAGGGCCTGCGATAAGCAAACGGAGACTTCTGGCTACGATTACTACTGCCTAGATGCTTGGAAGCCGAAATGTTGTTGGTAAGGAATCTCGACCAACAATCGGTTCTAAACACATACTGACTTGCCGCGTTCGTTTCTAGGCTCAATGGTCTCTGGGCAGATGGAGGGAAAGAAATCATGGAGGACAACATACCGTCCCGTGACGCACGCGAAGTGAGGACTCGACCATATTTCCAACAAATGTCGCAAGCAATGGCGGAAACCTGTACCGGAGATGTGTACGTCGTACACGAGCGCTATGAGGAGCTAGCAACGTACCAACCGAAGGGTCAGAATCCTTCCATTTGGATTAGCCATGAATTACCCGCTCTGAGGCGAAGCCAGTTGCGGGGAATACTGGGCAAAGTATGGGTCATACCAGTCGTTCCTGTACTACTCGGCGGAGTAGATGGGCTCGCTGCCAATACCGACCGCTCCACTTGGAAAGATCAGACCAAAGTGTTGAATCCAGGCGCGGCGAGAAGGTACGTCGAAGATCATGAAGGAATGGCCTTAGAGTGGAAGATGATCAGAGAAGCCCTTCAGCTCCAAGAGCGCCAGCGGGCATCTTCACCCCCTGACAACAGCACTCAGGCTTTGGAGGCTAGATGGCAGACTTGCCGCAACAGTGCAGCCGAACGCGAGGCGAAAGGGGCAGACTACTTTGGTTGAGAGGTTTTGGTGCAAACTGCTTTCGGTCAGGCGGGCACCGCGGTCACATGGTAGTTGCATTGATATTCTGAGTACACGACCCTATGATGTCTCGAATAGTTTCTCTCACACGTTCGTCATGTCAGCTCTTAAACAAATTTTGACGAGAATTATGAGTGACGCTAGGACCTGTAACGCTTTGAACTTTTTCCATCATCTCCTGCACACCTCTTCTAACAACCAAAGCTGAAAGGTACAAGCTAGATATGGGCACTTTTGGGTGTCAAAACCGTTGACCCCAGTGAAACCTTGCAATCGTGGCTCTGGTTTTGCCACTCTGGTCATCTCTAGTTTTACTTCGAACTTGTACACACAATTACACTCGGTGTTCTACATAAGAAGAAAATAGGGCCATCATGTGTGTACGTTCGATTATTTAGTTGAAACCATTTCACAATTGGATTGACATTATTATTGATGGTATAAAACGCTCTGACGTTCACAGCACACATGGATTCAATTATTGTGTTTTAAACTTCAACGCAAACGTAGTTGTCAATCCAAAGTGCGCCACAGGAAGTTCCAACAGCAGGGTTCCACTTGTAGAAGTTGTTCAAGTCAATCTTGTACGTGTTGGCGATGTCCCAGCAGCCGTCATTCTTGACAACCTTGTGAAACTTCTTGCAGTTGCTCGTCATTCCAGCTTGGTAGGGTGTAGGGGTCGCAATTCCATTTCCAGGCTTGGTTGTGGTAGGTGGCGGCGTGCTGGTCGGGCACACATACTCGCCCTTGGAAGCGTTGAAAGTGCATAGAGGGGGCTGAATCCACGACGTCGTGGTCGTTGGCTTGGCCGTGGTCGATGGCCTCGTCGAAGTCGTCAATGTGGTGACACCAATGATGGATACGCATACATAGTATCGGGGCCAGAGCGTGGCGCACGAGCTGCCAACGGCAGGGTTCCAAGCATAAAACTGGTCGAGCGAGATCTTGTATGTCTGGGCGATATCATAGCAGTTGTCGTTATCCTTGACAAGATAGAACTCGTCGCAGGTACTGATCAAACCTGCCTGAACGGGTGTAGGTGTAGCGATGCCATTGGTCGGGGTAGCTTTGGTAGAGGTTGGCTTAGTCGTGCTGCTCGGTACTGGTGTTGTAGATGGCGCTGGTGTAAATCCGATAGTGCCGACACAAATGTATTCCTGCGGCCATAGGCCCTGGCACGAAGTTCCAACTGCAGGGTTCCATGCATACAGTTGATCCAAGGTGATTGACTGCACTACTGCAATGTTGTAGCAGTTGTCATCCTTGACAACGAAGTAGAACTTGTTACAGTTGTTCACCATGCCCTCACGGATGGGTGTGGGAGTGGTGATGCCGTTGGTTGGAGTAGGCGTCGTCGACGATGCTGAGCTCGTAGTTGGAGTCGGAGTCGATACGGGAACGCCATAGTTGCGCTCCGTGCAGTAGGAGTTACTCTCGACGAGCTTACAGCTGGAGCCGAGCGACGGGTTCTGGGATGGTTAAAACTGCGCCTATTTCAGGTGTTGATGACTTACATAAGCCCTGAGATCGTCCGTGGAGATGTACCAGTCCTTTGCGATGGAATCGCAAGTATCCCCCGAGGCTACAACATGCCAATTGGAGCAGTCTGATACTGTGTCCGCGGCTGCAGTGGTCGGAGGTGGCTCCAAGTATGCCGCTACGGACGATGCCTGGATTGCAAGTGCGAAGACCGTGTACATGTGTTTGGACAACATCTTCGGACTCAGAACAATGGATCGATGGCGCTCTCAGATCTGATGGTAACAGTCTCTAAAAATCCCAATGTCACTATTTATCCAAATCGACATGACCAATGCGACACCACCATTCACGGCGTGCTGCTCCACCTGGCGAAGGAACTGCTGTAACCTGCTCATCGTGATAGTATCTGGGTAGCGTGTGCGCCTGGTGCAAGCCTCGCGCATGTCACAATGCTTGTCGAGGTTAAGCCGTGTCCACGAATAGTCCGGCTAAAGAAAAGCAAAGCCCAGCGGGTGGTGATGCGAGGTCCGTCCCGTGCGTTCAGGCGGACCGCAATCACTTCCCGCTGTTGCAGATGGTACTAGGCCGCATCAGGACTAGACAGCGCCAAGGCGCCCCTCGTGTTCTGTTCCACCAATCGGGGCGTTTCTTTGCAGAATGCAGGATCCACCACCTTCACTGCGTCAAGCTTCGGGCTGCGGCTATTTCATCGGCGCCAAGCATCGGCATGATATACGCCCTTCATGACCTCGGCTGCCTTATGCTACTCCTAGATGGTACTAGATACCTGATGTGTCTAGATGGCATAACGGGAACATTATAGCAAATTACCGCGGACCTCCGTCTTTTCGCAGTCTAGCGTTGTCAAAATCACGCCAGAGACTTGATCGTCTGGACACGCCTGGCGCATCCTCTCAACTTTTTGGCCCCATTCCACGGCAAAGGCAATTACTGAATTCAACCGGTCGCTTAGCTGAGGTTGCATTCATCCCAGGTACTGCTAGGCTTGCAGCAAGGAGATGTAGCGTTTGCAAATCTCCCCATACCCCCTACGGCATGCAAGTATCGCACAGCATAGTTTGATTCCCAGATCCATGGTTGTTCCCCATGGCCATACCTTTGATATCTCGTCTTTCTTGATTGCCCTCTGGCGTTGACCAAACCGACATGGTCTCTCTTTCACACTTCCTGGCAACTCTGTCATACATTGGCGTTGCAGTCGCCGACTTCCAATTCTACAACTTCACCACTGCTAGCACCAACCTCACATCGATTTGTGTTGATGTCTTGAATCTCCCCATAGCGTGCGATCCCGCACTGGAATGGGCTGGTCAAGGACGCTTCGAGGACGATGAAACACTAAGCCTTGTGTGCACAGCTGAATGTACCTTTGCTCTCGACACATGGCTAGGTCGGGCAACCAAAGCCTGCAAAGACCGCTATGTTGACCGATTGGGAAATGCGATACTACCGGCATACTACGTGGAAAGTTTCCGCGAGAATTACAATGTTTTGTGTCTCAAGAACGGGTATGTTGTTAGCTGAAGTATAGGAACGTCCTGTATCTGATCATTGCCTAGCAATAACCTTTGTAACTCCGTTCTTCGAAATGGTTTCGGCGTCAATCCAGACAACCAGTCCAAGACCAAATCCTCGGGTAAGAATGCCCGAACAAAAGTAAAGCCCATCGAACCAACATGCATTCAAAGTATCCACCGTGACATGCGATGATTGCTTCCTCAAGCAGATGCAGACGAAGCTGCAAATGCCTCTCATGTCTAACACCGATCTCGCATCAACGTTTACATCTCTTACTTCGGCATGCAAGAAGACAAACTTTGCAGTGACGCCACCTGCAACATCCACAGCTTGGATAGTGACGTAAGCTATCTTCTTCTCATATAATTTCGATTTTGGTTGACAGTCCAAGCACGACTACACCTGGATCTAGTGTTCTTGTTCCAACTCCAACAGGTTGTGTTGGGACTTTGTACACTATTCGGAGCACCGACACATGTCACTCGATCGCGTTATCTCAAGGCGTAAGCACTGTCGACCTCTTGGGTGCAAACAACCGCCTTCCTTTCTGCCGAGACTTCCCGAAACAAGGGAGGGTGTGTATCAGCTCAGACGCCAAGTGCGGAACACGAACCATCAAAGTGAATGACACGTGTGCCACTATAGCCGATGAGGCTGGGGTGACTTGGACCCAAATTGTTACCTGGAACCCATTCCTCGGAATTGGATGCAAAGGAATCAAGAACTATGTCGGCTTCACAATGTGCGTGTCTACTCCTGGTGGCGGCGCAGTCGACCCCAGTCCTGAGCCAGTAACGCCTACTTTGACTTTCACGTTGCCTCCATTTGTCGGTATGGAAGCTTCATTGCTTCCTGCACCCACCATGGGCGGCATGATCAACGGATCAGACATATGGACCTTCCAGTTTGCTGAAGGCACGCGCATGGACTGTGCAGCCTATGCTAATGGGACAGACTTTACTTCGGGCGCGTCTTGTGATCAGGTCGCAGCCCAATTCGGAAGTAGCATGACGGACCTCATTAGATGGAATCCTTCTCTCTCTCCCTCTTCCTGCAAGCTAGACGGTCAACTCACCTATTGCGTCCGAGCAGTTACTCTGCGGTCACATAATATGACACAATATTGTACACTAGAGGATGTGCCATCCCCAGGTAGCGATTGTAATACTTTTTTGGGTCTTTGGAATCTCGATAAAGAAACATTCTCTGACTTCAACCCTTCCGTGGGTAAGAAATGTGAGAATTGGGCACTTGGTAAGCAAGAGATTAAATAGTCGGAGACTTGGACATTGCATGCTGACTACTCATGTAGGAACGAGCTACTGCGTGTTCACGCGCCATTTTCGACAATCCGGCATAATAGCGACCTGCAACAGATGGGACATGGCCAATGTAACGGACTGTACGTATACCCCAGTTGATGCGCATTTTTCAGCTTCGTATACAATTTGGCCACTCCGCTAACGACTAGACACGAACAGACGGTGAGGATGCATGTGGAATTTTCGAGAGGAAGTATGGTCTTACCCATGGACGGTTTATAGCCTGGAACCCAATGCTTAACAATGATTGTTCGGGGATGCAGCGCTACAATGACTATTGTGTGGGTGTTCCAGGTAAGCACACGCGAGTTAAGTCCCAGTTGGCGATTGATGAGACTAATTTGACCAGGTTTCACACCGACGATTAAGTCGAAGAGATCGGTTGCAACACAGACAGCTAGCTAGTCCTGGTTTCAACCTTCCATACCGCTGTTATGCTCATTCTATCTTGAAATATTTCAATCGACCAGATGCACAATTGAGAGGCTTGGATTATCACTTCGTTGAGAAATTCCGTGCCCCACCGTCTCGCGTGGCAAACCCTCCATCCGTCTCAATATACACGTCTTTTATGACACAAGATAGATTATTTATCCATTATAGGCACCCGCAACTAGCTTACATGTATTTTGAAACGCATATTCTCCATTAAACAACATTTTATCAGTGAATCAGGCAGTATCATGTTGCCGGGGGCTAGGTCGAGGTCTCAGCAATGCAACGAGCAATGAAATTTGACGTTGGTGATGATAGACTAATACCAAACGGCTGCAACTATTAAATAATGCCATTCCCCAAGATAGGTACTGTTCACGTTGACAAGTCCTCAAAAGCTGAAACGCAGCATTCAAGCTACTCTTGGGCCGACAGTGTGTCCTATCGCACAGTGTGACTCCTTTGCTTTAATGAAGCTAGTCACGGCTCCTACAAAAGATACATAGAGGCTATGCAGTGCATCGTAAGAGGGGCGTGGAGCTAGTTGATAGATTCAAGCAAACTGCTTTAAATAGCCTGCCGTGAGATATCTGCGCATCTATAGAAAGACAACGATTGACTCTGGTGTTACATGCATTTGCGAGCACTTCCAAGACGCTGTCATTGCATGATTCCCCAGAGTACCACTGGACTCGATGGCTTCAACCTAGTAGAGTATGCAGACTCGTGGGTAATATACAGTTCTTAATTGGTCTTTCGATATCCTGAAGGATATGCCGGTTGCCGTTTCATTACCTTGGGAAACGACTGGCGGCATGATTATAGTTGGTCATGCGAAGACCTTTGCTGACATATTGCGAGGTCCTTTGGGGCATTTTCTGAGGCTAAATTGCAACTCGGCATTTGAGGGTTTTGCACTGGACTGATGGCCTTTTCGATGTGATATCTGATCCCTAGCCTTCTTGTCACAGTTTAGTGATGGGGCGATATCTATTTGGGACCAGTGCTGTTTATAGTTACTCACCTACATAAATTTTCTATGGCTTTTACAATACAAGCTCACCCAATCCTCAACTTCTTCCCCATGCTTACATTCATGAGTCCGGTTGCATACTGATCGTACTCACTACACGATATCTGTTTATACCCAATATATCCTGCTGCTACTGAGAATTACGACACCATCATTCCGCGTCTCTTATAGGGAATCAGGCCCCCTCAATTATATTTTTGATGTAGTATCACGTGACTAGATTGTGGGTGTATATCGCAAGTTTCTTTCAGAGTAGATAGACTAGAAATCAATTCTATTTCAATGATTAAATCTCAGCTTTACCTCTACCCAGGTCCATTAGGGGTCGCCCCTTGATCTTTTGAGCTCGATCCCATATCGTGCCACAATATCTAAATTAGTATTTTAGCTGTAGTCCTAACGAACACTGCTTAAGCTTATTAGTTGTTCTTCTACGGTGAATATAGATTAACTGACTACTATCGTTATTGTTGCCCCTATCCCGGATCAATATCAACCCTATTTTCTAACAGTTAGGGCTATCGGCGTTGCGCGAGTGCGGCCCTGAGATGTGCACTCGCGCGACAATATATAGCTAAAAAAGTGTTGGCATAGTATATCATCTAAACTACCCTCCAACTCGTCCATCCTCACCCATCACCTTCCTCACCGCACTCTGCAACCCACTCATTGACAGGACCAGATTCTTGACCAACCTCGGCATCTCCTAGTCCTTGAAATTGAGCCGGAAAACGGTAATCATGATATCCATGGCACGGCCCGGGGCATCCAAAAACGCCGGCTGTGTCTAGATTGCGCAGCTTTAGCCTCCGGAGATGCCCTTGAGCACTGGAGTGCCACGGTCAGGCTGGATGAAGCGCTGGACGTCGTTAGATTCCGCCTCGTCGAGCCACGCGGCGGGACTTCATCAGCCGGTAGTGTCCAGGGCGTGGGTGGAGTACAGGCTTAGGTTTTCGATAAAAGGCTATGGACTGAGACAGCAAGGCTGACGTGCCAGACCGTTTGCCGGGCGGCTAGCGATTTCACTCAGTTCTGCAGGGACGGGACGACACGCTGGGTTTCCTCGGGACCTTGTGTGCAAGTGAGGAGTTGTACATCTTCTAGTGACATATGGAAGTGCATGAGGGTCAGCTCAACGCGCATGAAGATATCGTGGGCGTGGTTGAGCGAGATGTCGGGGCTTATGCAGAAATGATGGAGTATTTCAATGAGCTCGTCATAGCGGGAGGTCATGAGAAGGGCGTTCCGTTGGCGGGATGTGGACTTATGTATAGAGTTGAATTACAGATACTCCCATATCATGCCCCAGGCTGCGGAAAGGAAGCCCAGCATTCTCATACCGTCGTCAATCATGTCGGTGAGCTTATGTAGTCGCACGATGGTACATTGAATACTATTAATCCTTTGAAGTCTCTACTAATAATGGATGGTAATGTCTCATGTGCCTCATTAAAATATCTCTTCGCGAGAAACCCTTCCCATCAGGCCCATACGGACATGAGTGAACCTCACAGTAAATCAATGCCTTATCTTCACTTTCACTATTTAGATGTGTTGCCTCATGCCGCTTAAGACCTTTTGGATAAAGGAAAGACTGTTCACATCTTGAGCATCTGTACGGTCGGTCAATTTTAGCTGTGTGGGTATGCTGGTGCCGGAGTAAGTCTGCCCTTAGTTTGGATTTGCGAGATTCACAGCCAGGCGCCGTGCAGTAATAGACATTCTGTGCGTCTGGGAGTTTTTTACAGCCTTCGAATTTTAATAATCCCTCGTCTTCAATAATATTCCCTTTGTGTGCTTGGCGCACATGATCCCTGAGCTTGTCTATTCGGTAAAAATCTTTTGAACATCCAGGAACCCCACAATCGAATTTTCGCAGGTAGTGCTTGCGCATATGCCTTTTGAGTTCGCCACGCCTTCCAAATGTTGCCTCGCAGTGGGAACATAGTAGGCGGTCATCTATCTTACCCGTGCTTCCAGCGTATGGCTTACTTGGAATGACAGCCGATGTTGATAACTCTGTGTCGAAAACAGCAATTTCGGCCTCATCCTGTGTGGATTTCGATGTCATGTCTGTTGCCCAGCTCGAAAATTCAAGGAAGGGCATGGCTGGAGTGAAATCATGGTACAGGCCACGATTTTGACCAATACCATTTGGGCAGTAGCTATACTGGTCTAAAACTCTGTTTGATGGCCTTTGGAGTAGGGGTGTGGCCAGTTCGGGATGATGTTTCTGATAATTTTTAAGCCAAGCGTCGTGACGCTTGAAAACATTATTGCAGGATGCCACATCACAGGTATAAGACGGTAAGTTTTGGTGGGACCGTCTATGTCGTGCCAGATTTCCTTTGCCATATCTACCGGAGAAGGTAGCATGACACTCCTCGTGAGGACAGGCTAAGATTTCTAAGACTTATGGAGAACTACACAAATCTAACGCATTAGCAGAGCCCAGCATGCCAGCTATCTCGCACAGCATCTTCATCCACAACAGTAAGAGCCTTGTTCCACACTCCATGTAGTCCGACGAGGGCCGTGGTGTGAAGATGTCTCGCCGTACCACAGGGTAGCAGCTGATACGCACGCTTCTAGGCACTGGCCAGGGCATTGGCTCAGGAAACGAAACCGGGATGATGCCAGCGGGTACCTACATCCAGGCTACTCAAGGCGAGGCTCAATGGTGGATATATCTTGTCGGGGCTGTAGGGGTGATAGGTGGTGTTGCGACTGTCTTCATGTGTGTCGATACGATATGGTTCCGTGATGCTAGGCAGGCAGGTGAGTCTTTGGCAGTCAGTCTCCTAACTTTGATCTTGTGTAGCCATCAATAACCCATAGTCCGTTGACAAAGCGGGAACCTGGACTAACTCCGTACTAGGTCATGCCACACCCAGCGTGCCGGCTGCACCGACCGCACCAGGCGCACCCAATGACCACGAGATGAACGTCATCCACCAGCCATCATCACCTTATGAAATGGCTGCTGCTGCTACCGAGCCGCAGCGCGAGCGCAACAGACGCAACGAGCTGAACGCTAACGGCCAGGGCGAGGCCGGTACTGGTATTTTTATAAGCGGCGATGGTATTACAGCTGGCCAATTAGTCGAACCAGAAGTCGCCATTCCAGCGGACCAGGCCTAACAGGCAGCTTGACGACCCTTCTTCCCGGTGTCGAGACATCGCGTTCGATCGTATCTGATTTCGTCGAGCGAAGGAGTTTAGGATATTGGTGTATTGGTGTGTTTGCGAGTAGGATGTTTTGCCTTTGAGGAAGAGTTAGACAATGTTGTGCATCGACAGTTCATTGTATAGCACAATCAAAGAGTACTTACAGAATTTGATAATAGAAGGCGATCGAGCACGTGATGCTAAGTGACGCTATACCGAATTCGTCGATCTCATGTTGAGTACTGAGTGGGTGCGCTCAATCATCGGTCTATAACTTTGGCAGTAACGAAGCTGATGGACGACATAGAGTCAAGGCAGTGCAGATACAAGTTCTGAAGATGTGTGTGAGAGGGTTGGAGGACCGAGACTGGTTATTTGCACTATCGCCCTGAACAAGGTGCGGCCGCCAGTCCTCCAGTGATCCGCGTCAATAGTCCTCTAGGATGTGGAACGTTTTATTGCCCCTTCTTGTTTGTGGCCATCGGCTTGCCCAATCATAACGCGCAAAATCAAACAGCAGTGGAACGCTCACATCATCAAATTATAACTGGATTGCAACTGCATCGTGGTGTTTTTGCACTAATGACAATTGCACCAAGGCTCATAAATTCAACAGGCTGCCACGTTAATTTTTGGAAATCAAAACGTCGCATGGATGGTGACTTCATGGACTCAGTATGAGGTGTGCATGTTCAGTAGTCTACGAACAGCCTTGGATCAGCAACTGAGATATTGAAAGCAACTACGGTATCTGGCCAATTTAACCGCGCACACCAGGACAAAGCAACACGACATTTAGGTGCAGAGAATTGGCAGGGAGGTTAAACACATGAAAAGGATTTCTCTAGGTGATGTAGAAGTATTGCGTTGGTTCCTACATAGAATTGCAGCATAATAACCCTTCGGCACTTATAAAACAGAAAGTAAAGAATTCGTAGAAATAGCTCAGGAAGGCCCTGAAGATAGGTTTAATCCATTCAGAGATGGCTCATAGCATTCAAATCCAGCGACCAATCGCCACTCAGCCTTTCAATAAGTAGATGCAGCATATGATTGGAATCCCCAGATGCAATCTCCAACTTCTTAATCTCGTCGTCGATCCTATCTTCCAGGGCCCACAAATAAGATCGCGTCGCATCTATTACGCCAGAAGCGTGGGTTAGATCAAATATCTGTTCCTTTGCATGTTCAAGAAGTTTTTGATTAGGACGGGGGCTCAGCCAAGGAATCCCAAGTACTTCATCTTTTGCACTCTGGAAGCAAGTCAAACAGTTAGATCAGAGGATGGGAAAAATTCCCTTCGTCGGGATTTCTGTTTTTATTCGATACCCGATTCCGGCAGGTTAGGGTGTGGCCTGCCATTCTTTTCTGAGATAATCGATCTGATACACTACACAGCAAATAGAGATAAAAGAAAAAGTCAAGTCAGCCGTTTTTCGTATTCCACACAGCAAAGTCCCCTGTAGTCGTCGCGGACCTGGGCAAAATAATTAAAAAGAAGATCAATACTATCCTAGTCCACGTGCGAGGGGTGACTCACGGTGCTCTCTGGCTTAGCAAGCTGCAGCCGCATATGAAAAAGACCATCACGTCTACAAGCAGCCATATGGAGGTACTCGGCGATGCTCGGATAGACCATTGTAGACTTCCAGTACAAGGTCCAAAGGCTTTTCAGTGATACATGTGTTCAAGGCCGTCTAACAAATAGAGGAACTACAAATTCGTTATTCGGCCCAAAGGCATACCAGACTACACGTACTAACATAAACTTGGTGCTATCAATAGTTTGTTCATGTTCAAAGACGAGATAAGTTGCGATTTGTCTACCGCACAGATCCGAATCATCCTCAACGTCGTTTGATATCAAGGATGCATTGTGGAGGTCGGTTACGGTGTTTTCAACACTACGCATAGGAATTTCGGGAACCTTCAGCCACAAGTCAGAAGCCTCAACTAGCATTTAACATACGCACTTTGAAGGCATGGAGGCGATGTAGTTGAGAGACCGCATCAAAATCTATGATCTTCGTTCTGAGCAGGGCTTTAATCAGACATGCCTCCGGTTTAAACATCTAGATTGATCTCTTTCGAACCAATGGTATTATCAATCGCAAACTCATTCACAAGATACGCGGTGATCGGAAGAACTGTCATTAAACTCGATTGTGTTAGGAGTACGTGACTAAGTACCATATTGGGTAAGTGGAATGTTATGTGCTCGTTTACAATGATCCTTCCAGTCATGGTGGCGTGCATATGACAATGCCCAAAAGTGCGTACCTCCCACGATAGATCCGGCTTGTCGATCCATCGTCTACAAGAGCAAGTCTATAAATTTAAGTATACAGCAACTCTCTAGAGATATCTAGAGGGCGTTGATTTTGTGCTTATTGTAGACATGCAAAAGCGTGATGCACTGGAAGAGGTTATCGAGGGCCTAAGCGGTGCTGTCCATATTGTCGCATCTATCCCACTGAAACTTAGTGGAGGTGTAAGTTAGCCTCAAGAGTAGGCTCTCCTCCAGAACTAGTTGGATCTAAGGAAGTTATTGTGGTTGGCAAAGTCAGTTTTATGCTCTGGCTAGGAGGGGCACCTTGAATTTGTTTACCACTGCAGCCAACGAACCAGGGTGAAACGAATTGTTGTCACTTCTACCTGTGGCATAACTGAATATGCACGCCCCGGTTCAACTGTTCGTAAATTAAAGATAGCTCTGTACCGGACTCATCTCGTCAATTTCAACCCTAGATATCATCCCATTGCCAGACGCTGAGACAGCGAAGAAGGCGGGTAGTGCATACCAATACTCGAAGGCTATAGCATACTATGCGGCATTTAAATTCATCAAAACCAAAAAGACTCAATTCGGTGTGGTGCACATACTGCTAGGCTACGTCCAGGGAGCCAACGAGCTGTAGAACTCGGCTGAAGATACGGTATATGCACATCAACGTGGATCTAATCATGGAGTGATGTTGACAGCGCGAGGAATTTTGTCGAACATCCCTTGCATGACGGCACAAGTCCACCTCTCTGACATTGCAAGAGCTCATGTTCTTCCTTCTAAGACAGAAAACGCGAAGTGTGGTGATAATTTTATCCTAGCTATGTATAGCGGCCATAGCGTTTCCTGGAAATAAATTGTTCTCATCATTCACGAGCGTTTTTCAGGCGCAATCGAACGGAGCGTTCTCAATCCAGATGCAAGAAAAGATGATATTCTTATGTCTTTCCGTATAATCAACTCTGACCCGGCATTCGGTGAATTCCGCGGAAGCGAAGAAATGATTCAAAAGGTTGTTAGTTGATAAGTACATAAATTTTCCCGAATCTCAAGACAGTAAGCAATAGATTTAGGTTTTTTTTTGTTGAGATTGAGAAATTCTCGACTTGATATTCACTATAAGCTAAGTCTTTATTTCTCATATACAGAGAATGCTGTATGACAAGTAGTAGATACTGTAAGTCCAGCTCTTTTTCCTTCCTATTGAAAGCTAATTCCCTCCTTCGACGCAGACACAGTTGGAACACTATAGAAGATAATTAACACTGTTCGGACCATGAAAGTGGTACTGAATCAACATAAGAGAGATATAATTAGAATACTTGCCTGGGGGCCGGGTGCAACTTCTCCACCCACGCCACAACAAGACTCGCCAATACAGTGTGGGTCACCTCCAGGAAGGGCTGCCGGAGAAGCTGCAGCAACGGCAAGAAGTACAGAGAGTAGTGAAAGAATTTGGAACTTCATGATAGCGGTCGTTTTTGTTGTTGTTGAGAATTTCCTTTGTTTAGGTAGAAAATGATGCTGAAGAGTGAGATATCTAACAGGAGGTGTATTCACTTTATATATGCACACCCTTTATTGAGAGAATAGAGGGCGGTGATCAGTGCGTTGGGGTCATGTGCATGGGATGAGCCACCTCCTGGTAGAACATGCCAGTAATGGCAGATTTTGTAAAATGCCGCACGCTGAGGTGAAGCCGCATTCACTCACGAATTTGGATGAGTCTCCTATATCCTTGCCACTTCTTCAGTGTAAGAGGAATTGGTTATTACCGTTGTTAAGAGTATTGAAATTAACTGGATGGTCCAGGTTTAGCCTTTCAGTTCTGCAGTGAACTTCGTCGTATGATACGGGAAGGAGCTTTTGATACACAATTAGACTATCAGTGGAGACTTAACCATAATAGCTGATCCTTCTACTCCACCGCTTCCGTATCTTTCTGTAGGTTTAGGCAGCTTAAAGTTTGACAATTCACTTATAACAACCATCGCGTTGACTAAGTGCGTCCAAGAATATCGCTTAAGATTGTTCAATTAGGTAGATACACGTTAGGAAACATCGAGGCGAACATCTGATACATAGTGCAAGTGGGCTACAACAATAGTACAAAATGTTTCAATGATACACATACTGGGTCAACAGTCTGGAGTCTACGGTGCTGCACCCGCTGAACCCGACAACAATAACAACGAAAACATGCAGCTGAAGCACGCATGAGAGCGAGCCAAAACAAACATACCAACTAATGCCTAGTATGCACCTCTCTCTCACCAATTATACAATCTAGTTGCCACCTTCCAGCATGCAAAGTTGTCCCTGTCTGCAACACAACTTGCGTAGCATTTGGCGCGCCCACACGATGCAAACAGTGCTGAACATGCTCCACCGAACGAGAATCCGAGTCCAAAACATACGGCTTCTTCAGCCGTGCGCGCAGTTGCTTTGCCCACAGATACGTGCAGTGCTGGTAATGAAATGTACCATTTGTGTATATCGTGCGATACAATCCTAACCTTGCCTCAGCCTCACTAAGTGGCTGCGTCCCAGCACGGTCGTGGAAGAATGCAAAGTTGTTTTCGCGCAGGAATTGATTGGACAGCTCTTCATCATAGCATGGTGGGTGCACCCAGCCGGACATCATGAGGTCAAAGATGCATCCGTTTTTTGCGCATTGCTCCGGTGTGCGCCCGCATTCACCCATGCTGGTTGATGTCGGCGACTCTGCGGGGCCGGACACATTCATGGAGAGCGTGCTGATAATACTGCCAATTGTGAAGCAGGTAAGTAATGTGAGAAGGCTAATGGCTATGGCGCGGTATTGTCGTTGTTGTATAATGCGGTGTGCGGCTGTGGAGTTGGACTTTTCTTGGTCGTAGGCATGTGGGTAAGGGTCGTTGTCGTCATTGTCGCTGAGGTCCAGAGAATGAGAAGGAGAGGCATGGGCAAGGTCATCGTCTCTCAGGAGCGAGGCAGTTTGGTCCATCTGGTGCAGTGTGTTGGTATCAATGAGAAGAAAGGAGGGACAATATAATCAACGAGAACAGACGAGTGAAAGAGTGCTTACGATTATGGTTTTTTTGTGGACGTAACTGGGATTGGGAATTCCAAAGAGATATGCAATGGGTGTCATATGAAGAATAGCCGAAGAATAGCCAGCCCACGCAGGGAGAAGCGTGTAGGTTCCTTTATGCCAAGCAGACTATGTTCTGGATGTACCCTACTGGGATTCGCAATGAGAAAACATTCATCTCCTTCCAGCCGGGTCCTGTACTAGAGTTGTCCTCTCGAATGATTATCGCGTTGTAGGCATATTGAACTGTTAAAGCGAGCAAATCATCACCCCGAAAATGGTATCAGGGTCAACTGGTCACAACATAGATCAAAATCTTCATCAATTGCGATAGATTTGTAAGATTCTGATACGAGAAATCTATGTGAGCATCTATATCCTATTGAATAAAATACACAGCCATGACGATAGCTAGGATGTAAGTAAGCTACAATTCTATGAATTACATAGTATTTGGTATATTTTCAAGGATTCGTAAAGAAACGATTCCTCACTACTGGGAAAAGCATATACACTTGTATCTTCAGATTGAGAGTTTTATCTAGTTGGAAGATTGAAACTTCACAGGTTTACCCGGGAATTTCGGGCCTGTTCACTTCTCCGTTCTCCGTTTCCGTATTGTTTCTTGTTTTAGGTTTGGAGCGTTGATAAGGAAGGGCAGGCTAGCGTTGCAGCTGGGTCTATCTCGATTAAGATCCGAAACAGAGGGGGTAATCAGTTGGAGCCCCGTTTTGTGGTCACATAGGAAGAAGTAGCAAGCTTCGTCTCCAGAACTAGCAGCAACATGGAGAAAATATAGTATCAGTACTATACAGGTCCTATGTTAGTATAACAGAGCTAACCAAAACTACTGCCGTTTGGGACTGGAAACCTTTATTGTTCGACCATGACGCCGTTTCCGCTTTCGTTTCTCAGACGGAGTTCAAGTAATTACCCGCTTACGTTTAGCAGCTAGGAAACAGAGGCGGTGATCAACGCGCCCTTAATCTTCTTTCGAAATAACAGTACACACAGCTAGGCAAAAGACAGCATTACGTACTGCTGAAGAGACTCCGCTTGTATTGTAGGGTCTTTGAGGTAGAAGTTGCCCTCTGAAAGAATTTCACCAACAAAACCCATGCACTCGAATGAACAATTAATCCTCCTAGGTCGTATAAGTATGACTTGAAGAGTCTCCAGATTGTTGATCAACCAGTCACAACCACATCCACAACAACAGTCCTACTCTTCTTACACTACCTAACGCGCCAATCAACCTCCATTTCAAAATGAAGTTCTCCATCGCTCTTCTTGCCATCTTCGCTGCCCTTGGAGCTGCCGGCCCCACTTTCCTCAACCTCGCTACTCGTGATGATTGCCCCAACGGATGTGGCGAGACTCCTTGTTGCAGCGTTGACCGATGCTGCTACCCTTGCCGGGAGGGCTCGGATGCCGACTGTTCCCCTGTGGTAATTCTTATCCTCCCGATTAGACTTACCGTACAGCTGACTTATCGACTGCAGGTTACTGAGTAATGTATTTCCGACCAAGAGATGAAAATCGACAGACTAAGTAAATAGTGAGCGGCCTTGTCATGTGAAAGTCTTAGATTGTTCACTGACGCTTTTTTAGTTGGATTTCTGTAGAAAGACTGGTTTCCCAATTCGTCTTCTAGAAATTGATTAGCCAGGCGCAATGTTGGTGAGCGCTGGTAGTTTGATCGTTTTGTACCTTAGATTGAGGACGCTGCCCTATCTCTATGAATTGCAATTCATGCCTCACTGAACATTGTCTTCTTGCAAAAACATTAGCCTTTTCTGTCGTGCTACTCTTGTATCTCCTAGGGGCTGCTAACATGCGCTGTAATGCCTTCTTTGTCGATACTGGCATCTTTGAAAAGTATAACAAAGCCTTGCTACAGCCTGTTCATATACTCCACTCCTTATGTGATTACAAGAGATATTCTCATGATTCTGAAATTACCATTTTCGCAAGGTCCGTCTCTGCATTATCATTACTGAAACGCTTGCTCAATGAAATACTATAGGCTACCCCTCTTAATTTCAACATTTGGATAAGAAAGGATTTGTTGCATACTTCGGATTCACTCATCATGGAATGAGTGAAACCAGTAACCATTTTGGAGTCCAGCATTGAAGGGTAATCAAGTCTAGAAACGATACCTAACATGAAAGCAGATTTCTACAGTGATAACTGTTTGATTGTAAAATACGAATATCTGTATAGACTTCATGTATATAATGCTTGAATAATGCACTTGAAAAGGGTTATTCAAGTCAATTTGCATTTGCCGTGGATATCCCTGTTCCCACTAGTCCATCGGTCATGCAGGTCTACTAGCGACGAATTGCCTGACAGAATCCCAGTCTCTGCAGGTATGTACCACATCTGACTGCACAAAGCTTCTCCTATGACCTTCGTACCAAATGACCGGTATAGGAGTGAGGTCGGCATGACACATTAGTTGTTGCCTAATGTGATCAATACAATGATCTCGATGACCTCTATCGGGATATGCTAGTTTTGTCCGATTGTTGAAGTAGTGGTTTCGATCAAGAGCTCTCCTCAGCTGTTCCACACAGTGAAGAGCATGAAAGACGTCAAGGCCAGTCAAGTAGCCTACGCCATCGGGGTGTAAATAGAGTCCGTGGGGGTTTCCAAATGTCTGTACGGCCTCTGCTTCAGTGATCGTAAAGTATCGACCTCGAAGCAAATCCTCCCATGCTGCATCAATATCTTCGTTTGGTGGGCCGGCGTAGGTGGGCTCGGCAGGATTGTTGACATGATAGCCAGTTCCATTATCGTACCACCTTGGGCCTCCCCAAAACATAGACTGTTTCTCGTGGATGTACGGCTTCGCAGGACCAAACTCTGTTGAAAACCCTTTGTTGAAAGAACCATGTTGTAAAGTGACTTCTTGAGAAGCTGACTTTATTTTGAACAGCTGGACTAGGAGGAATGCAGTGCTGAAGGCGAAGGCGCAGGCGAGAATCCACCCTAAATACAAGATGTTGGATGTTCGGGGTGGTTGGTCCAATAATACATCCGAAACATTGTCGTCGCTCTGCTGGACAGATTTGTATTTCGGCCTACGTAAGAAGTTCATGGCAGCAGCAGGAATGTAGAGCGTGAGATCAGTGATGAGGTTTATTGTAAACGTTACCATTCGTACAACTACGAGAGTCTGATTTAATAGTGTGGACATTGTTTCGCAATCTAATTCACGGAATACGAGCATGTGCATGAGTGTGTGGGGCACTGCTTAGGGATTTCCATTGCGACAAGGCACAAGGTACAAATACGCCCATTCCTAGGCTACAAGCGATATCTCTCTGATCTTTCGAACACAGCATATGCGCAACATGAATCTAAACGATGACTTGGAAAAGCCGCTCATGGGAAGATCTTGCGATAGCGAACAATCCGAATCCTCCACACTCCTAGAACATCGAACACTCGGACTTCAGAAAAAGATACAAGCAAGAACACGATGGTCTTTGTACCTGCAGATAACAACCCTAATCACAACATTGACTTGGATATCTTTGTTCATCTGGAACCAAAATGAGAGAAGCACATCTCCATTCGCTTTGATCGAAAGAGGGCACTGTGGCTGGTCAGTAGAAGAAGCCAAAGCTAACGACTGCGTTTACGACATCATGATGTCTTCTTGGATGCCGCGACCATGCTATGACGAAGAATTATCCGAAAGCTTTCTAAGAGCCAACAACTTCACGTATTGGACATTGAATCAGGGGGGGGAAGAGGTTCCCGAAGCAGAGGTTAAAAAGGGAGAATTTGATATTCTTTTCACACATGGGACGTATCATTATCAACACTGCATGTAAGTATACAAACTCCGTTGATTTGATATGGTAGGCTGACACATATCAACACAGCTATCTTTGGAAGTTGCAAATGAAGGCACAAAAGTCAGCTGTAAGGGTCCTTGACTCGATCTCAAGAAGTCAAGCACACATCGCACATTGTCAAAAGCTACTGACACCTGACCTTTCGTCGCACACTTTGTACCAGCTACAATCAAAGACTGGGACACCCATACACGTTAAACCAAAGCGACAAACTTGTTGGGAAGGGTAGTAGTGATTGGAAAGGAAGAAAATGCATCATATCTGTAAATAGCTCAAGCTTATCAGCAGAAGATATAACTTTACTCTTAATCATCAAACCTTCTCTATATTGTTAAATGCTCCAATTAAGCAGTCGTTTACTTGTGCAAGATACAATAACAATCTCTATTAGTCTTTCCAAGTCCTAACCTTATTCCAATCCAATTCTACGCCGTAATTCATGGAGAGGACACTTGGGGATGCAATGGAATTCGTTCGCTTCGTGGCACTGCGATAGTACCATTGTATCGTGCTTTCGAGAACTCGTGCAGCTTTTCAAAGTTTCTGCACGTGTGTAGCTGCTTTGGATTGATATACTGCCCACGCCGGTCATGCCATTCACTTGGAGAAATGACGGATGTTGCTTGGCATTGTATCACTTGTCGCAAGTGATCAATACAATGTACTGATTGTAAGGTCAGTTCATGGAAGTGTATATTGTGGGGTTCGCCAATGCTTACATTGGTGTACTGTACCACGATATTTCTCTTCGGGATAAATATCTCGCCTTAGAGCCTTTCTTAATTGGTTTAAACAATGCAAGCAATGGAACAAGTCCAATCTAGGAACAGGTTAGAATCCCAAAAAGATATTCTCGGAATTGGATTCGTCGAGCTCACGTTCCTGTCCAGCCTCCTCTAATTCTGTCCCTATACCTTTCGAAGTCTTTGCCCCAAAGTTTGACGGCTTCGTCTTCGGATACCGAGAAGTAGTGAGACTCGCCCCCAATGATCGCATCCCACGCTGCATCGATCTCTGGAGATGGTTCGCCAACGTATCTAGATGGGCCTAGAACCTCTTCGCCATCTGGTGTGAAATCAACACCCCCGGTAAAGACCGTTTGTGTAAGTTCGAAAACGTGAGACGGAGCTGTGAGATAATTTCGTCAGCAAGTTGTTACAGGCGACGCAGTTTCAGTGACATACTAATAACTCGCTCTTCCGAAAATCCTCTCTCAAAAGAGCCCCATTTACCCGCACGCCATGGTTGTGCGGATGCAAATCCTACGGAATACACAACAATCGTCCAGATGAAGACGATCGATATTGTCAAGATTGGAAATCTTGATTTCTCGTGCCTTCGAAGCGTTGTCTGAGCGCTCTCATCATGATCTTCTTTTGATAGCAGATGTGACTCGCTATGTCTGAATTCATCATCCATTACCTGTCGATGCAACTGGTTCGACAGCAGTCGATCCCAGAAATATGCGTAATCAGGCATTGTTGTACTGTGCAATAACGAGAATCAGCTTGCACAAGTGCTCATGACGATAAATATAAAATGCTGCAAAACTAATGCGAAGATGATGGGACGCAAAGCAACGTCAAGCTGATTCGTGGTATAAATGGAAAACTTTCAGCTTGGATCGACGGCTTGCACAAAGCTCGGTATATAGACAAGATGCTGCTTCAGATTTCTGGAAATGTCAAGCTTTCGGTCTCGCGACATCCACGCGGCCTTTGGCAAATCAAGATCTAGTGCGATCCTTGCAATTACTTGTACATTTAAATATGCAGGACAACGGCAATTCCACGAGAACTAAAAATCACGTGTAAAATGACGTTCATTTCACCCTTTATATAGTGCACATTCTACGGTGTGACGCGAAAACTCTGGCCGGAAAACAACAGTCATAGAAACGGAAGTCGGTGCATTGCAACTTCATTACAACTCCACAGCGTAAGTATTACTTTAGAACTACTGATTGCCTAGCCACTATAAAGGAAATCTTGATTCTAAATTGGAACAAGGTAAGGAGACATTCCTAATTCGGAAACGTGGAATATGTAGTGTTTGAAGGAGCATGTGCCCGTTTAAAGACTACTATAAATAGAATAGTGTAGGCGGATTCGGCAACATTATTGGCGAGAAAACATACTTACTTCCGCCTCATCATGTTGCACATTGGCGTCTGAAGTAACCACATGACTTTTTCGACTGGATCAAAATTACACAAAATGATGATGGTTGCTCAGCGAGCATCTTTGCGAAGGACCTGGGCATAAATGGGCTACGTGATGACCATGAAGCGATTCACAAATAAGTAATTACCGCCACCGTGGCACACACAATGACTCGCTTTGGCGCACGAACTCCCGGTTCTTGCCGCATCTCGGTCATGGGACTTATCTACGATTATCTCATCAACTCGCTTTGTTCTGCGGTGGTACCTGGCACGTTTGTTTGGTACATGTTGATCATGTGTACATGAGCCGAATGTTCCAGTGTGTGATTGATCAGTGACATACCATGTAATTATATGGAACAGATTTTGTTTCTTGGTCGTATTTCCAATGCAGCGGTCATTCTAGTTTTGCGCTGTTCAAATCCAGATGGTACGATTAGCTTGCCATCATTGATACTCAACCGAAATCATGTGACATGGATATGCTCTCTAACGTCATTATATCTGTACAATATGATTTAGAAAAGTGCAAGTTACATCATCTTCCTCCTAGCACGTCTACCTTCGCCTTCCTATCTTCGCTTTTTAGAGCCCCTGCAGGACATTCAACATGATCAGTAAAGGCTCATTACTGGTTTTCGTATCACAAGTTTTCGCTGTCATCGTTCACACCTTGGCCAAATTCCTGGAAACGACTGGCGATATAGACCCTCAGCAAATTCTTCAGGTCCGCATGTTTGTCACTCTAAGTTTAAACAGTCTTTGCCTCAGGACGTGGTATTCGCGCGAGCTTCCACTTGGAAGCTATAACCTCAGGTACCTTTTGGTGTTACGAGTAGTTGGCGGAATCTGTGGTTCATTCGGATTTTACTGTAAGTCTACATACTGTCAGGAGTCCATACAAACTAACTCTTTAAGATTCTCTTTCATATCTAACTCTAGGTGACGCAACAGTTTTAAATCTTCTCGCACCTCTGGGGGCTGGATTTCTGATCTGTAGAAGAATTGATTTGGTTCGTCTCAGTTCGGTAATGATGTGTTTACTCGGTGTTGGACTTATCACCAAACCGGACTTCATTTTTGATCATCTTTACCATGACAGTGAATATCGGCATGCAGTCTCAGGTACTGGTTTCGCATTCTCAATCATGGGTGTCCTTGGTGGAATGGTAAATTTTGCTTGTACCGGAAGCTATATGTCTCTCTACTAATGGATCGAGGCAGATAGCATACTCCATGATCTCAGCTATTGGTGAAAGAGTCCACCCTTTAGCCGTAACAAATTGCTTTGCCACAGGCGTCCTGGTTCTGAGCAGCGTCTGTTTCGCCGTGATACCAGGTATGGAGTATCGTTGGGATCTTAGCACTTTACAATGGATTATCCTTCTACTAATAGGCATCACCGGTTCGCTTATGGTAGGTGCTCCCGAATCTACTTTGTATCATACCAATAATTTCTTAGGAGTACTTTCTTACAGCCGGACTGACCTCAGAACGGGATGGTACTGCGGTATACATGATATCATTGCAAGTGGTTCTGGCACTGATAGCAGATGTGTCTATCTGGGGCACCAACCCAGATGCTTTATCACTGATTGGATCTGTACTGGTGCTGTCTGCCGTTGTGGCGACTGAGAAATGGAAAAACACTGTTGAAAATCAGGAAAATTTCGAATTGAGTTGTTAAGAAATAGTATTTCTGATCACAAAACTAGCATCACTCATGGGTCAGTATTCATTAGTACATAAGTTCTGTTGGACTTTTGATCAATCCTGGAACTACAATGTCTATTTCTTACACAATACACTCAAGTCAGCTTTATCACCCCCATTTTTGTGAGAAATTACTGCTCAGCGCTTTTAGACGCTGTTGTTCGCAAATGATGGTGGTGATCTCATCCAATGAGAAATGTACTCTGACAATTCGAACTTGGCACTGTTCTGACCCGTATAATCACACCTTTTTGCTGACCGTCTCCTTTCTCCCAGTTTCGGAGGTGTTGACTAGACCCTGTTGGCCATCCAGCTCATCATGGCATCGAAATCCCTGCATACGTGCCATTGATCGGTAGCTGCATGGGCTACCTTGGCTTCTGGTCTCCAGGCGAGGAGAGTCCAGGTTAAATCGAAGCTACACGTCAGATGCTGTCGAATGTTTTCCAGGCAGTGGTCTACAATATAAATCATTGATTAGCATGATAATAGGTTGAATTCAATACGTCAAGTGAGCTATACCAAGATGCATTCGATGGCTCATATGATATGGTCTCTCAGGCTCATCAGTGATATCCGTGTAGTAATCTCTGGCAAGCGATTTTCTGATATAATTCTAGGTTTCGTTTTAGTGATGAGTTCGCAAATGGGGGGAAGAGTAACAAACAACGCACCAGACAATGAAGAGAGTGTATGGCACTTGGTCTTTGGTTCGCCGGTTAGATAGTATTTTCACCCTTTCAGAGCAGGAATGGATACGCACTGTATTTCATAGTGTCCATGTCTGAGGTCTTCATCCAGGACTTGGATACCAGAATTCCTTATTTCGTCTGGCGTTAACTTTAAAAACCCGTGTGTGCCGTCTGGTAATGGTCATTTCAGGACTCAGGGTCATTTGAAAGAAATGTGTTTACTTAGCAGCATCTCTTCCCTCCATGCAGCATCAAGCTTTGGACTTGGGGGCGCAAAAAAGTCTGTGCTATTAGGATCTTTGGTAATTGAGTATGATCCGTGCTTATCGATGTTGACTCCTCCGTAAAACTTTTTTCGCTTCAGGGATATTGCCGCACGCGCTGGTTCTACATACCCATCAGCAGCGGTTTTCCTAAGCTGCCAGAGCTTCATTACCTATGTCTGTCACAAAACCAAACTCATAAGTCCCCAGCTCAGACATTTTGTCGATAGTCTCTGTTCTCACAGTAACAAAAATCAGTGCGACAAGAAGGAAAGCGCTTAACCCCCAAGGCAAAGTTGTACTACTACAAAGACCTTTGGTCTTTTTCGTGGTGGCGTCCGTGTGGCGGTCTTCGTGTTCCAGGGCGTCATAAAGACTTCTTTCCTTATTTCGGAAATGGTTGAAGAAATACATATCGATAATGATTGGAAGTGCTGAACAACTGAGCGAAGAATGTAAGCGTAATATATGTAACATATGATCAGACCGCTTGGTGCATCGGTCCAAATTTTTGAAAGATCGGTCATACCTTTGGCCGCACGGCATTGCAATGCCGCCCGAAGAGAGATCCAGATACTACATTTCCAACAAGCATGCATCTGAATCATTCCCTAGATGATACGGCATTCAGAATCACAAGAATCACCACTATATCATTGAACATATCACGTGACGGGAAATATTTTCTTCCGGGAACTTGAATGGTACCATCATATACCAAGCAAGTCTAATTACTCGTTGCCCACTATTGTAATATGTTTTGACAAATATGTGAGCGTTTCAGGCCCAAATACATTCCCCTGTACTTACATTACACATGGAGAGGATATAGCAGTGACCGTGTTCTGCTTATGCAAAACGCTCAGTTCTTTGCATCAAATAAAATGTCGTAAGTAGCAAAACCGAAAGTATCACATTCATGTAGCCGCTCGGTGGGTGCCTCTAGTGCAGTCGTAACGATTTAGCTTCAAACAGTAAGGTGAAATTAGACACATCCGTGTTAAAGGTAAGTGTGTAAATAATCCTTGCTAGGTGTTGCGCTATAAGCATGACGTACTTGCGGATCGTTTGCTGGCTAACTCGAGTTCCTACCCGACCGAAACTAGGGATAAAGCCACTCTCCACGGCTATACATATAAGGAAACAGATCGCCGGGGGGGCCTATGCTAAGGTTGAAGCTATAATGACTTACAACTTTCAATCGGTCCGAGCAGATACAATCACTTGATAGAAATTGCCTCGTGCGTTATCTGGGGACGGCTCGTGACCCACACGAACAAACTAGTGTCTTATCGGTGTACATGGATGACGGTCATGATTCATGCAGTATGGACGAAAGGTCTACGGAATCGAGGAACATGATGTCGCAACGCTGGAGGAAATTGTTATTGTGCCTTTCATGGAAAACAGAACATTGAGACACGTAAGCTACTGTATCAAAAAGGATTGGCATATCTGCACGTGCCGTCTCTACTGACTTCTTCACTTTGCGCGATTTGTCGACTTGCTTAATTGGACTATTGTCGTGTTCCACAGTTATTCAAGTGGCACGATTGAGGTATTTTGTGTCGCGCATTGCATATCTCGGCTAGATTGAGCCGAAATCAGAATGAATTGGTAAATTGCAGACGGGCCGAGGTCATACCTAGGGTGCAAGCGAAGCTACCTAGGTACTACGCTACGACCCAGCAGTATTCGAGCATCATATCAGCACCTGCAAATCAAGTAACATATACCCTGTGCTGGGAAATATATATTCTGCAAAAAAACTGACAACGAACATCAGAAAATGCTTTTTCTGTTGGGATACCCTTCACATCGAGGGTTGTATGTTGGAGTTGGCGGGATTTGTTGTGTCGCGTCCTGAATAGACAGCATGGGCCGCTGATCACAAGACGATTATTACCTAGCATGACCGGCGATCTACGTATCGAATTGAACGACTAGCTGGGCACAAATGTCCATCATTCGCAAAAATACTACCAGGGTTTTATCTACAGGTTTGAATAGGGGTAATTATATCCTTGCTATTCATGACGAACAGGAATTAGCCAACATCTTCACTTCCGGGTCTATAGATGCAAGGTCGTTGTCCCTGTACCGTGGCACCCCGGCTTAGCAAAAGCTTTTCTGCATCAAGCTTTTCTATTTACGGCCATAGGATAACTTCAAGACTGTGCATTTGCCAACGCGTTCTTCTGAACCCTAAATACGAGACATGAGCTCTCACAGGTTGACGGGAATCTTGGGTACCAAGTAACACTCTGGCATATCCTATACGTGAGAAATACGAGGCGCTTAGAAATGATCTTCCTCTCCGCTTACAGGATACTCAAGTCATCCATGAAATTAGTCCTCCCAAGCAAAAGTAGGCTTGAATATGAAAAACAACAACTTAGAAGACTTCTTCTGAGCGCCTTCTTGTTGCATTGTCCTAGGCCGTGCATTGTGCCACGACATCCTTGAAGCCACGCATTCAGCTACATGCTCCAAATTACCATCTAGTGACCGGTACATCTTATCTCCAAAGAAATGTGTTCCCTGCCCCAACCAATCACTATGAGGAGAGGGGTTATCTTCGGATATTCTGCCCAACAAATGGTTTGATAATAAGCTTTTGGGGGCAAGATTGTTTTTTATAGAAAGGCTAGGAAAATGCTATAGTTGACTAGAGTATCTAGTTTGCACTAACTAGAGCTTTTTCGAATCTTCGGGTTTCAATGCAGACATTGAACGACTCATACATAAGAATTACTTACCTTTACAGACTAGCGCCAGGAAAATGTAGCCAAACACCGTGTAGTAAGACCCTAGCGGACCGATATTGGACATTAGCGGATAGTCCTACAACATCAAGACGCGTCATAAAAAGCCGCAGCTTGTAAAACACTGAACAATAGGACGGAAAGCACTAATACTAGCGTGATTCTGAGAATCGCATTCCCCGCACTAGTATAGCACGTGAATCAGATGATGCCGAGAGAGCTTTTCTGGATTAAGCTTTTTTAATTTGCAACGTTAATCTTGTTGAGTTTGAATTGGTGCGGAGATATTTTGGAGTGTCGATCTTGTCGGTATTACCGTACTTTCTCCCGCGAGTGTGCCGAATAGTATTGGAAAGCTAAAAGCAGGCTTACTCTCTACAATAATCTTTTCATACGCCACACTTGCAAACCTATTAGCACCCTCTTCGGAGTATATTTTATCTTATTCAACATGAACGGAGCGAACTCCGATCCCATAGAAGTCCTGCGATGGGTTCTTGAGAAAGTTTCACCGGCTGATGTCGTGGGTTCTTCAGTAAGAACTACAAACTCGAGTTTCGCCGATAACGAGCATTTTTGATGTTTTTGTAGGCAAGAGAGAGTTTCCAACAGTTCCTGCGGCGCGGGACTGTGCCACAGCTCCGACAATTACTACCTGAGATCCATGAAGCTGAAATCCTTCTCAATATCACAGAGGCACGTGAATGTTCAAGATCAGCATCAGCTAGCAATTCCATGACCGCTTTGATGCACCCAGATGAAGGTCAAGGGCGCAAGCGTAAAAGGAAGCAGTTCTTTCGTGATAGTGGACCATTTTCTAGAAGCCATCGATGCAAAGGTTACTTCTATTCACACCACCCGTTCTCCGTTTGGGACTAACAGGCTCACAGCATCGTTAGCTTCTGGGACACTACCTCCCAGCCCGTCTAGTATGAATACATTGTCTCCATCGCCATCGCAACCAGACTCGCTCATCTCCTCTCAATATGAATTGGAATCGATATCGAGTTTTCCAGAACGCGTGGATTCGGACGATGCGCTTGCATCCACTCACGGGAATTCGCCCTTTACAACCCCACCGATCTGCAATCAATATCATATCGATATTTCAGAAGAGACGGACCCATTTTCCGAAGGGCTTATACCAGCACAATCTGAAAATGTGCTTTGGAGAGCAAAGCAATTCTTTGCGGAACGTCTTGGAGATCGCCAAGCAAGGTTGGACTATCTATTCCGAGCAGTTCAAGGGCTGGTTGAGGCACCAGAGTTAGCCCCAGACTTTACGAAGAACATGTGGAAATCACGATCTGCGATCTTCAACAAACCAAGTATGCCTAACACCAAAGCTCGACTTCGAAGTTTATATAATGGCCATCGCACTATCAAGAGAGCAAGGGAACAATACCTATATGCAGCTCGCTTTTGCTATATCTACCTAGAACACGATTTGGACGAGCTTTCTAAATCTCGTGACCTTATTCTTTCTCAAGGACGTGGCAGAATCACTGCAGCCTTTGAACTGCAAGCAGAGATAATCTCGACGACAGTTGATATTGTGAAAGCAGAAAGAAAAGCAGGCCGTGGCTATCTACAAATTCTGATGGAGGGCGGTCCCGGGTTTATACTCCGCCTTGGTTCTAACGTGTCTACAATGTATGGCTATCATCTTGCACCAACTTGGATTTCGTGGTTGCTAACCCGATCTATAGTTGGGAACGAAAATTAAGCACTGCAGATATTCGGCTTATCATTGAATTCCTAATTGCAGAAGCCCCAGTTTTATACAAAGACATCATGTCATACAATGAAATAGCCACTCGAGCGCTCGTTGACGGCTTCATTGCCTATGGTTGGTCGGCTGAAGAGATTTTAGCGTCCGAAACCTCTTTATTCAAGAGATTGAGGGAATTTGCTAACCTCGAGGAAATTTTACAATCTGCGGAACGATACGGAACATGTCAAAGCTCGGTAAATACTCTTTTGGAGATGAATACGCCAGATGTTATGCAAAACCAAGAATTTTGCAGCCTGGATGAAGACATGTTGAGTACTCCACATTCCAGCCTATCCCTTGTAACTATAGAATCTGTTTTCGGGTTGTCAATGTGTACCGATGAGGAACTTGAAGTCATGAATAGCCTAAGTCAAACAAGAGATGAAGAGTTAGACTTACTTCTGTCCCAGGAGATGGAGTACTCTACTGATGTATGCTGGACTATTGGGGATGAAAATTCAAGTAATTTATGTAAATAGCAATATACACAAACAAGCTAACGGTAGCATAATGTGATAGAAAGAAGGCATGACTGCCATCACATTAGCTTTCTAAGACCATCGTGGCAAAGTGTCTAAATATTGTCTCAAGATCATGTAGCATCGTATCGCACAAAGATGTCCATATCTGCTTTGAGAAATTGTCACCTATACCTCCTACATGAAATACGAGATGAGTAGGATGCGAACAGGTCATGTTGTATACTTCTAGCTAGTCATCTTCGCATTTACCAGCTCGGACAAATAAGGCAGATACAGGTATACAGCTATGAGCAGTTTGACCACCACCTTCCGTCTAGAAGCTTAGTGCAATCAACAGGCCAGTCTGGGTACATGCAAAGGCCAAAACATGGCTGTTTTATCATGTCGACCTTGGAAAGATTGGATCACAGTAGCACGTACCATGCGGTCGATCAGGAAAGTCGAGGACTTCTGAAAATGAGAAAAGAACTGGGAAATGAGGGATAAGACCGAACTAGATAGCTTGAGTGACTCGATTATGAGTGAAGACTGTGTTATTGATCGATCCTTCACCGAGCCGACTTATCTTCGAACCCACAAAATCGGAATGTCCTCACTTCCGTCTCTTTCCCCTCCAACATGACGCTCGCGCATACGATTTGATAGCTATCCCCTGCCTATACCCTCAACGCAACTTCATGGTCCGTGGAAATTACTGGATATATGTATCCATCAACTTTTTTGCCAGGGCAATCAACCAATGCTCGATACTTACCTGCCCACGTCAACATGTCGCCATTTAGTAAAGTTGCACGTTCAAGGCGGGGATGCTGAAAGGAGGGAATATTGGAGAGCCTCGATAGTCGTGATGGCGAGGCTAGTGATCTGTGGAAGAAGTAAATCATTGGGTACACATCCTCTCGATTGGTGTCCTGTTTATTCGGCGAAGCGGGCTTGGATGGAAGATGATGAGGAAGAGTGGAATCGCGGCCTAAGTTTGGTAGATTGAGAGGATCCTTATGCGCGATATTGAGTCGAACCTTGGTAAAGTTCCTCGTGGGGTAATGTTCGCCGAGCCAAAAGTCTAGCACATCAATATCGAATTGGGATAGGCAGCAGAAGTGTACTTCGCCGTCTTCCCTGGTCCCAGAATTGAGCCGCGGGACGTAGGAAAGTCCGAGGATGTCAGCTCCATCCTGGGTACTTGAGAGAGGATGTTCCAACCGAAACAGATAAGTTGCTTGCACACGTCTATGGCGGTGTGCGGAGCGTTTTCAAGAGGGAAACGTGTTTCGATTCGCGGCAGTGTGGGCGATAGAAGGCATATTAATGCCTCCACTTAATTCGACGAGTGTTTGCATTGCGTAGTCGTCAAGCTCATCAAGATAGTCCATTATAATATCGCGGAGACTTAAGAGGTCTCAGGCCGCTGTGTAGATCTTATTATGAGCTTCAAGTGCTGTCAGAGTACCGCATGTCGTTCTTGTGATGCGATTCAAGCTTTTCAACACTAGTAAGAGAAGAAGACGCGATGTGAGTAGCAATAAATCATGGTATGCGCTTATATGTAATGAGTTTTTATGTTTCTCAACCGTACCGTATGTATTGTGATGCCCAGGCATCTGAAACGTATATTTGGGTTTGGATAAAACATTAGCTACTTTTTCTCTTTTGACTCTTGTCGCACTTCTTTCATACGGCCTACAGCTTTGTCCATACCACTCAATCTCCTGATGAGGTGTTGAATGCCAAAGGGAAGTACACCGAGGACTTGGACATATCTTGAGTAGAGGGGTACTGCAATCTCCCCACTATCGCCCTTCTCAATCATACGTATAATGTCCTTGCCAATCTCAGCAGGTGTAACAATGGGCGCAAGGAAGTTGCTTGGGGTCTTGAGGCCTGCAAACATCCGTGTGCCCATCTGGCCAGGTGTTACAAGGATTGTTTTTATATGCTTGGCGTCGGGGTTCTGCGCAAGTTCAGCGCGCAATGATTGATGGAGCGCCAGGAGTGCCGCTTTGGAGGCAGTGTAAGCGGATAGGTTAGCCGCGCCGAGGTGTCCAAGGACAGAGGCAACAGTGACGATGGTGCCTCGGCCTTCTTTTAGCATATGTGGTACGAATGTGCGGAGAGTGTTGAAGTGGGCAAGCGTATTGACGCGGAACGTCCTGTTTGGTGTATCAGCAGATGTCCATGTTGGCGAAGCTCTATACGTACCTTTCCACTTCCTCGGCGGTCGAATCGAGGACCGAATTGGCCCGCATGATACCTGCATTGTTGATGAGGATGGTGGGGGCCCCAAGCTGCGGTTGTCAGTATGCAATGGGATATGTTGGAGTAGATATGCTCACATCTTCGACAATCTGGGCTGCAGCGGCTTCAACTTGTTGTGCATCGCTGACGTCACACTCATAGTACAGCACGCCCGTGTTCTCGGACACTTCGTCGTCGACCTTCTTGGTGTCGAGAACAGCAATGTTGGCATTGCGCATGCCATATGTCTCGGCCAAGAGTGCGCCCAATCCTTCGGCACCGCCCGTGACTACGATGACCTCTTCGGCCAAATCCACCTCGCGCGGCGGTCCAAAAGCGATGCGGTCACTAAGCAGGCCAAAGATGCCAATGATGGACATGAGCATAGCCCAGGCAGTAGCGAGGCGCATCTCGAGGTTGCCGTACGGTGTGTATTGCGCCCGTAGGCACAAGACGACGACCCATGAGACAAACGGATGGAATATCGTGTAGCCGAAGACGTACCATATCAGGTCAATGGTAAGGTAGTGATGCCATGGCTCATCGGGGCGGTCGAAGCTTTTCGGCAGCTGGACGGGGATTTCTTTTATTCCGGACGGCATGGCGGGCATGTCGATACAGGAAGCTTGTTGGCGCATCGAGGATGGCGGGGCGCGTACTACTATTACTGGCGCGTCTCTGGGGCTTAGGCGCGAATCGGACCTCTGTACCGGACCTGCGGTGCAAAAAACTAGCGAGGAAGGAAAAGAAGAAATGAGACTGCGGTAGGAAAAACAATGGCCAAAGCCATGCCAGGGGCCATGGTCTTCTTATTATTCTCCTGTCGTTGATGCTGAGGGTTGCAGTGTTTCATGCACGCCTCAGGTCGCACAGCCGCTAGCCCTCACAGTCCCAGGCAAGTCTTGGTACGTACCAGTTCTGCCCCGACAAGCGCAGACTTGTTCTCTTCTCGAAGCCTTCTTCACGCACGAGTCAGTACCTGCGACGTATGCGACACCTGTTTTTCGGCAACAAAAAAAACTGATATACGCATTGGACAATGGAGTTGTTGTGACCGCAATCACCAAGGCGGACGGCTCCGTTTCGACCACACCGACATGATTGTATCAACCAAAATCCAACGATGCCACCAGCACAAGAAAGCAACTGATCTGGATAATCCGACGGCAAATCCGAATAACGGCAAATTTTCATCCATAAAATATGTCGACGCGATTATCGTAACCAACAAGGAACTGATATCCTTGCTAGATATGTCTAGCGGCTGGCAGCATACTTGGCAGCATTTTCCAAATGATGAACTAGAGAGGCGTTCCACAGGCACACGCACAGCTGTTGTAAATACGAACGAGCCTCATAGAGCATGCCTACCTTGGCTATCGATACACGACCTGCCATGCCTGTTACCTGACAACTCCAACGCCATCCGAGAATCGTGAAAGAGGGTTCTTACCAAAACTACTTCTTGTGGCCTTCTTTAATGACGTTTGTCGGGAACCTTATGAATGCCTTTCCGTTTCTTTATCCATCCATCCCTTCACCATCTTACTTTGCCTCTGCGGTCCTAACCAACCAGCGCCAGAGTACTCGTCACATCAGTGACTTCTACTGCTCTTTCGTCAAATGATTGGCCTTTTCTGTACTACGATGCTCCTCTTCGCCCTAGTGCAGGCTCGAGTCATCGTGACCAACAAATGCCAGGATAGCGTATGGATCTGGTTCTTTCCATTCCTCAGTCCTAGTCACACTGAAAACGTCCGCGTCAAACCTGGAGGCTAATACCAGAAACCCTGGCGTCTCGGGTCGATAGATGTCCCTGGTGTCACAATCAAGATTCCGACGCAATCAGACGGTATTCACACTCTTGTGGATAAAATTGACTTTGTCTATTCAATCAAGAACAAAGACAAATGCAAATTCTAAGTTCACTTGACATCAGTTGATGGAAGCTATCTCCGCCATAGTCTCAATTTTGATAGCTGCGCCTTCCAGTACAACTCCATTGACGTTGTGGCGCATGAGTGCGATGCAACAGACTAGGTAGAATTGGTCCTTTGTGGGACCACTCGCACCATACGCGCCAAGGACATTGCGTCTCTTGAACAGATGTGAGCCTGCTACCACCCCAATGGCGATGATATTGAGGTGCCTGATGGGCTTGAGTACTACGGATTCTTCAAATAGTTCCCACCCAACATTGATGTGGAAGAATCCGAGGAACAGCGGCAGAATGCCCGATTCACCACTCCTTGGCGTTACAACAACCACTGGTTCGACCCTGTGACATGCAACAAATCGAGAACCAACGATGAGCCGTCGGTAGATGGAAACCGCCTCTATGAAGACGACTCCCCGGTCAATTATGGGGTACTCATCATCACGAACCCACCTTTCGTTCGCAACTGTCAAGCCAGCGTGCTATACCCAGGAAGATGAACCGTCCATACATCATCCACACCACGAGCCACGTTCACTTTTCCGCTCAAAAGTCACGATCAGCATACCTCGCTGTGATAGGTGATCGAGAAACACCATCCTGGAGTCATACAGGACCGCAATGAGGAAGTGGTCAAGGCCCATGGTCGCGCGCTCTACCCTCCTCACATATGCGCGATCCCAGGTACAAGCCGCTCTTGATGAGCTGCTCTTGCAAGGAACTAGTCAAAAAGCTTCAGGCTATGTATCCAGGTGTCGTGAGCGACACAAAGACGATTGGACAAATGTACAATGCTGAACGCAGGGAATGCTTGCCCAACTTTTGCGAGCTAGCAATCCCCAGAGTCGACTGCGTCCATGCTGCAGGCATGTTGAGAGCTACGATTGAATCATTGGGCATAGGCTATACCGACGTGACCAACGAGGACATGAAAGGATGCGTGCCCACGCTGATACTCACTCTTAACGTTCGCCCTATGATCTGTATCTTGAGGCTCTCTGGTGCTTTCTATGCGGAATCCGTGTGCGAAGCTATTCGGGCTTTACTTGAACATAATGCCCAGGCCAGACTGGACCAGGACATTGAGTTCAGTATTGATGATACCATCTGTGGCAACTGAGATGACTTTGACGGTTGGGTACTCATAACGCGATGGACGGCTTGGGTCTATAGTGACTGGTGATAGTATGTGTAGTGTATGTAGTTTAGAATGCAGAACGAACACTGACTCGCGCTGATATTTATCACAAAAGACTAACAACTAGTGTGTGCATTTAATAAGCTTCGGGTTCCGTATGAGTGGATGCAACAGGTTCTCATCGGAAAAGAAAAGACACTCGGTCCATTCACAAGTCCAAGACTAGGTAAGGGTTCAAGGGGATCGACAATGTACTACTACAAAATGTGGGAGATGGTGCTGGTAGCCCAATCAATGCAAGGCTGAAATTTTCGTCTTGACAACGCCTCGCGCTCATATACCAACGGCGGTTACAACTAACCACCACACGATATCTAGCAGACTGCATGTCTTCAGATATGCAGAAGACATGGCATGGAATGAAGCACCCCTCAATGACATCACTCTCTCCTCCCCCTCCACATATGTATTTCCACAGGCCACGTACACAACGACGAAGCCAAACCCCCCCGAGCCACCAAGCACACGTAGGCAAAGGCATACATACGTCCATCTTGACCCACGATGAAACAAAAACCACCGACGATCTCAACCCTGTCCTCTCCAACCCCGTCTAGTCGCAACCGTCCGAGCCCCACAGTAACAAACCCACCAATCACACCACACCTAAACCCTTACCGGTATAACCCTTCCCGCACTAAACCCAGTCAAGTATAGAAAAGCAAAAAAAAGGGCCAAGAAAGATGAAACATGGGGCGCTCGCGCGCGCAAAGCGGGGGTTGCATGGCCCCCCTCAAAGGGCTAAAATACTTAATGTACAAGTAACAAGCCGAGAGTATCAGAATATCTGAAGAAATCCGGGTCCACAACCGTTTGATCTGCACCCGGGTTGTGCGCGCGCGCAAACCCCAATTGAAAAAGAAAACGGCAAAAATAGGGTTGGAATTTTATTGGCGAAAAAAAAAGAAAAATTAAGTTTCCAACTGTTGCGACAATCGTGTTTTCCTGGGTATGTGGAAAGTACGTTACGCAGTATGAGGATGTACGGGATGGGGGGGGGGGGGTGTTGGTGAGGCAGCTTGCAACGCCAGGTAGATGCAGGGGGTGAGGGGGGGAAGCGAGAAAGATTCGTTTTCTTTGGCTTTTTGCTGATAAGGGGGGTGAATGTAGTTGATTTAAGTTAGATGAGCATGCACACTATTCTTTTCTTTGGCTTGTTCTTCGCAAATCATGTAGAGTAGTCATACATATGCTGTGCTGCCTTGGTGTATGCCGTGGCGTTGATGTTTCGAGACTCTCTCTCTCTCACACACACACATACCATCCAGTCGTTCAGTCCCAGGTGATGCCGTGCTTACCGCGGGAATCTTTCAATGGTTGGCATCGCGGGCTGCGTGTCAGCCTAGTTCCGGTCTCAAATATCACCTACATGCCGCACTTCATTGGTTTTTCCGCAACGGGCCTGGGACACACAAAGGCCAAGAGAGTGAGAGAGAAGAAAAAAGCGGCAGACGTAGATCATTTAATCAAACGGTAGGCAGGTAGAACCTGGTTCCATGTAATACGGTATAGTCTGTTAGCCCAATGTGGCTGCGCAAGCGGAGACGGACGAAGAAAAGCCAAGTGGGGGAGAGAGAGAGGAAAAATGCCCGAGTCGCATCACGAGGCAGATACGAAAGGAGGATGACATAGTTACATGTGCCTTGCGGACAGATATTCGGGTCATCTACTTACTCTACTATGGAAATAAGCTATACTCCACACATTGCTGCTGAGACACACCTGCAGCCCGGTCCGTCATCGGTCAATCTTTATAACAATTCTGATGCTCTAGGCAAGAGTATATTTCTTCCATACCGTGGGCCCCTCTCGTATGTGTGTGTGTGTGTGTGTGATTAGTTTGGACGGAAAAGCAGAGGGACGGACGCGGCATGTCCCTTTTCTGCTTGCCGCGGCCCAAATGTCGCATCTACCCTCGGCCATGTGTGTGTGAGTCGTGTTTGATAATGGATCTACGAGGGGTCTCAGCGTCTTATTGATCCCACGTCCCTCTTTGGAACTTTGGCACACAGGTCGCGTAATGTAGATGAGTCGCGCATGGCCCAAATGCAACAGTCGTTCCCGCTAGTTGGATCAAACGCTCTAGTCGTGCCGTGTGATAGATAGCCGTTGCAGCCCTAGCGCGCCCCGTCAGATGCAATCTACCGAGATTGAAAGGCAGAGCAAAGGGCGTCATGCTGTTTTATTTTTCGGAGACCCAGGCCGTTTGGTGCTCCGCCAAGCCAAAACAAGATGCAAAAGCGACAAGTGGAGTGATTCAAAATATGTTTAATGATTTTTTCATTACTCGCGCCACCTGCCAAACGAGGACAGACAGCGGAGCGAACCTTGAACTAGTAGCCATGTGTCGGTGCTCCGACAAACTATTGATGATGTGATGAGGATGATAATTTCCAACGCCGATTCCATGCTGTGTTATGCAAATGTTTAGAAATGAACGCCTTCCAATGCAACTGGTGACGAGATGGGCGAAGAAATGTCCCATCCAGTGAGCATTTTTCGTCAGATCATGTCAGCCGTATAACACCCGTTGAGACTCCCCTTGGTGAAACCAAGCGCAAAGCTAAAAAAAAAAAAAGAAAAAACACAAAGAAGGAAACATGACAAAGTTGTGGTAAGCGACAGTGTGTGTGTGTGTGCAAGATAGCAAATCAAATTAATACGTGACCTGACGGCCGGTATATGCGCCCGTCTGACCGAACATCCGGCTGAAGATGCCGCCCGCTGACGTCTTGACCTTCTTGGAGGGTTGGTGCTCGTACAGCGGGAGAGCATGCTGCTGCTTGGGGGCTGCGTACGGGATAGGGCCATTGATATATACAACATTGGCACCCTGGTCCGCGTCGTAGCGGTGGAGAACGGCCTCTGAAGGCTCCTCGTGGCAGCTGGAAGGCGATTCCGATGAGACTGAGGCCGAGGAGCTTCGGGTAGGTGGTGATAGCGAGGGTGTGCGCGAGGGTGCGCGGGATGATGGGACGTATTGCATGCGATGCCTCTGAGCACGGGAAGAGTGTGAAGACATGGATGAGTTTGATGGGTAGGTGTGGACTGAGCGCGAGAGGTTCTCAGTGGTGAGCTGGTACTGCTTGCGGGCAAGCTCCTTCTCCTTCTCGGCAAGCCTGGCCTTCTCGGCCTGGCGTGATTGCCAGACACGGATGGGGGCTAGGAAAGGCTCAAGGTGGTAGTAGAGGTCGTCTGTGTTGATGCGGAGGTCCCAGTCGAGGAGGAAGAGCAACTGCTTCTCCATGAGGTTGACCTCTGTGATGGAGAAGCCAAAGTTGTCGTAGCCGCGAACCGACGAGTACTTTGCCCAGTGCTTATTCTTGGGCGATGAGTCGTTGAGGTTCTTAGCCGCAAGAATGAGCGAGGCGAGGAAGATGCGGTGGACAGTGCAGCGCATGCCCTTTGCAACAGGGGGGAGGCGTGACCGTAACCGGCTGAGGTAGATGAGCGAAGACATGAGGGTGGCCGTCTGGACATGTGATCTCTCGACAATGGAAGTGATGAACTCTTCGACGGATGGAAGGGCCGGTTCCCGGGGGTGCGAGGCAATGTGCTGCGAGGGCGAGGCTGGTGGTGTGGGGGGCAGGTTCTTGTTGACGCATGGCTCGCAGCGGATGACTTGTGTAGCCTTTTGAGCAAGATATGAGATCATGTCACTTGACACTGGGAGTTGGATGAAGTGGTCCAGGGCCGCCTGGTTCTCGGCAGCAAGGTTTGGTGAGTAAGGCATGGTGAAATTGTGTGTTGTGGTGGTGGGCCTAGGTTGGCGTGGTGGTGGTGATGATGTCTTAAGAAGTGAATGTAGTTCCGGTCTGGAGAGTGGGTAAGCGGGTGTCCAAGGCTGATTGTGCTGTGGCTTGGTGGCAGCACGACAACAAGGTTGAATTGGCAAGGCAGCAGAAAGATTAGAGCGACGGAAAAGTCCGAGTCCAGTCGGAAGACGAAAGGCAGTCGAGACGGGGGGGGAGGGGGGAGAAATTTTTTTGGTGTTGTGGAGAGAGAGGGTGTGGATGGCGCTGCCAATAAGGGAGTCGGGGGTGGTGGTGGTAGTGGTAGTGGTAGTGGTAGTGGGTGGTGGCGTTTAGTAGTAGGGGGAAGGAAGGCGAGGGTCACTGCCGGAGTGGACGAGGCACCTGCACCGCTAGGATGGCAGGGTCGGAGGTGGGAAAAGAAAAAAAAGGGAGGGAAGAAGGGAAGGGTTGTGACTGACAGTGTGTGTGTTTGCGAGGGCTGGCAGAGCGTGATACTTAATAGCAGCGGGCCCCTGGGGTGGTGGTGCAGGTGGGATGCTAAACTGAGAGGCAATCCTACGGGCCTATGGGCGTCGTGGTTCGGCGGCTGGCAGTGGCAGCCAATCGAGTGGGTAGCGCGCGACGCCAGGCAGCGGCCAGCGGCTGTATGGCCGGTTTGGGGGGGTTACAAGATTGCGAGTGGTGCTGAGGGCAGTGTGGCAGGAATGCACAGTGTTTCAAGTGCAAGCCAATGGTTTGCCGGCAGGGCAGGGCGCGGTAGGCGACAGGGAGCGAGGGCCAATCAAGGCGTGTTGCGAGTCGCGTTTCGAAGGGCGGGCGACAATGTTTGAGGACAGGGAGGGGAGACTGAATGGGTGTAGTGTATTGTGTATTGTGTTGTATAGTAAGTAGTGGTAGCGATAGCAATGACTGACGGCTGCACTGCAGGCGTTCAAGACGTTGCAGTTGTGCACCCGGCCGGCGTCGTCGACAATTATGTATCTGCAGACTCGGCGGGGACTAGCCAGGCCTGCTGGCAGCGCACGTCGGTCACGTTCCCAGCCTGCCAGATGGTGCTTGAGGCGGTGAGGCGTGTTAGAGTGGAGCCGCATGGCCGTGGTGGATGAATAGCAGGCGACCACGCGGTAGCAGTAGCAGTAGCAGTAGCAGCATAGAGTACAGTGACGC